CTTCGCCCTCTGCTGCTCCTCGTCTACAGTCACCACGCAGCAGCGCACGCTCTGCCCCTCCTCGAACAGACTCTGCGGGTCGTCGACATGTCCAGCTGCCAACGAGCTCGAGGGCGCCAGCGCCGTCAGCCGCCCGAGGAAGCGCACGAAAACGCCGCAGCTCTTCACGCTGAAGACATAACCCTGCAAGAACTGCTGGGGATGCAGCTGGGCAAGGGAGGAGGGAAAGTTCTCCTCGCGCACGGCAGAGAGGAGGGAGGGCTTGACAGTCACGAGGTACCTGCGGTCACGTGAGGGGCAGGGGGGAGGAGGCGAGGGCAACCGGCTCTTGTTGGCCAGCAGGTCGAGGACGAGGCAAGTCAGTCGAGCTTCAGGCTGCAGCTGCTGAAACGCCAAGGCCGCGAGGTTCGAGTGATCCGCAAGGTGAGGGCGAGGAAGAAAACCCACGGCTCCGTTGGCAGCACGGACGAGTAGCGCCTCCTCCTGCTTCTCCACCACCTCCATCTCCACCAACTCCCCGACTGTGAGTCTGAAAGCACACCTCTGTCATTCAGCTGTCCTCTCCGCGCCACCTCTCCTCTCTCCCTCTCTCTTCTCTTACCTGGCGCTTGTCGCGATGATCTGAGAGTTTTCTTTGGCTGCCTTGAGGCTCAACACGATCCTCTTCCGATCAACCTCCACCGACAGCACCCGGACCTTGAGCACCTGGTCGGGCTTGAAGCAGTCCTCCACTCGCTCAGCCTCCTGCTCGATCCCAAGCTCGGAGCGAGGCAGGAAGCCCTTCGCCGTCCCGAAGAAGCTCACGAGCACGCCGCTCTCCTGCACCTTGTACACGACCCCGTGCGATAACATCCCAACCTTGGCGTCCTCCACGCGGGCAATGAGGGGAAGAGAGCTAGAGACAAGCGTCTTCTTTAGCGTGAGCAGCAGCTGCCGCGTCTGTGGATTCACCCGCAACACGCGAGCCTTGATCATCTTGCCGGGAAGGAGGCGACGCTCGGGGTTGACGAGAGCGACGTCAGCGAAGTGAGAGGAGGGGATGTAGCCGCGAACGTTGTCGGAGATTGATACGAGGCATCCCTCCTCGCTCAGTCGCTCCACCTTGACCTTCACGAGGTCCCCAGGCGTCAAGTCGTCGTACAGCAGAACCTCAGCTGCCAGCACCGAGGGCTTCATCGACATGTTGATGAGACCGTCCGCCCAGGAGAAGCCAATGACGCGGCACGAAACTTCCTTCCCCACTGCCACCTCCTTCTCCACCTTCTCCACCCGCTCGTCTGACACGTTGGAGATGTGCACGTAGCCCTCCAGGGACTCGCTCCCCTCACCCCCGAGCTGAACCTCCAGCAGCACTCCCACCTCGGGGTCGACACGGCGAACAATTGCGCCGTCAAAGCGCTGACCCATCTTGACATCGGCCTGCACGTAGGGGGGGGGGAGACTGTCAAGCACGTGACGGCGAAGCGAGAGGCCGATGCGGTTGGCTCCGACGTCGAGGGAGATAATCCTCGCGGTCACCACCTGCTTCTCGCTGAACTGCTCGACGCCCTTGCCTGAGCCAACAAGCGGGAGGTGAAAGAGATCGATGGTGCCGAAGAAGAAGTTGAGGAAGCGAACGACCAGCCCGGACTCGTGGACCTTGGCGACCTTACACTTGAAGATCATGCCCGGCAGAAGATTGTCCAGGGTCAGACTTTCAATCTCTTTCGTCAGCGAGTCTTCAAGGCTCTCTCTTTGTGTGCTTACGATGGCAAGCTTGTGCTCCTTCTTCACCTTCTTCACGTACGTCTCCAGCAGCTGCCCCACCTTGAGCTCGCCTCTTGACACTTCCTGGAAAGGAAGGAAGGCAGTTGCTTCTGAGGTTCCCAGGGAGATGGTATAGCCCTTCTCTTGCTTGGAGCTGACGGCTCCATACAGGCTCAGTCCCTTGTGCAGCGTATCGAGAGCCAGAGCTGAGTTGACTCGCGAGGGTTTGAGCGAGACTGAGATGTTCTTGTGCTGTTGCTTCCCTGCCGTCGACAGCACAGCTGTTGACAGGATGACGCAGCGTACAGGCATCCCTATCCAGATGTAATCTTCCAGTGGAGGAGCATCGGCCTCCTCGTCCTCCAGCACTTGCTCGAGCACAGCGCTCAGCTCGTCACTGATCTCGTCTATCTCTACCCATCCTGTTAGATTGTTCGGCAGGCTGATGGTGGCATCGGCCTGACGCACTTCCTTAACAAAGCCGCAAAGAAGCATGCCGGTATTAAGTTTCTTGAAGCGAAGAGGCTCTATAAACTTGGGCATCTTCATGCTGTCACTGACCTCCTCCTGATGGTCGACATGACGTAGCCTCTTCTCGTCTTGTCGGCGAAGTTTCGTCCTTCTGGCTGTGGAGGCTTTCAAAGCTTTTCCCCTTCGCTTCTTGGCATCATCTTGAGCCGTTTCCCTCTTCGACTTCCCTCCAACAGAGAAGAGAGAGTGCTCTTCTCCTCCTTTTCTCCTCGCCTCACTCACTGTGCTGTTCGTGCCTCCTCTGGGGAACGACGAGGGCATGGCGGAGAAATCCTTGGAACCCTTCTCAACGGATTGCCTGACAAGAGACATGTCACTTGGATATCCATGGTATCCCTCAGTTTCTCTCACCTTGCATGATCCCTCCCTGTCTTTGCCTTCTTGCGTTCCGAGGCGGATGGCGATGCTGATCGTTTCATGGTCCCTTGCGACAAACAGGTGTCTACAGTACAAGAAGACTGCAAGAAGACTGACTGAACCTATCGGACTACAGTACAGTCCCTTCACTCTCGATCTATTCTCTCTTCTTCTTCTCTTCTCTTCTCTTCTTCTCTTCTCTTCTCTTCTTCTCTTCTCTTCTCTTCTCTTCTACTCTTCGTTTGCTTTTCTCCCTCGCTCAATTCGACATTCGTTTCGTGAGGGGCACGTGCGATGAAAATAACTTTAAAAATTCGAAAATAATTTTAAATTAAATTAAGCTTATTTTGACTTAAGCTTATTACTAAGTTAGTAGCGTTATTTCTTTTTCTTTTTTGTTTTTCTTTTGTTTTTATCCTTTTTTTTCTTTGTCAGTGGCATGAGCAAAGCGAACATCGGGAGAGGCAGAGGAGGAGGAAGGCGGAAGGGTGAGGCAGAGGAGGAAGACGGATGGGAGGGCGACATGAAGGAGTCGAGCTGAATGTGTAGAAGAGAGAAGAGAAGGAAACATGATCAACACAATCAAAGGAGACCAGAAGAAGCGAAGAGAGCAAGGACGGGGGGATAGTATGATAACGAACAAGGCGAGGGTGAGCCCGTGAGATGCGTGGGTGAGGAAAGAGGAGTGCATGCTTTCAACGCATTCCCTGGGGCGCTAGTCAAACTTGACTCGACCTCTTCATCCCCATGCAAGCTGGTCCGGTTCGAAGAATGTGGCTAGACACAAGCAGGCGAGCAGTGAGGTTGTGGGTGAAGCAGCCGAGAAGCAGGTGTGCCGCGTGCTGCTCTCACTCCCCTCCTCTCCTGTCTCATTCCTCCTTCGCTACTTCATGCTGCTCCTCGCTTCAGAGAGCCTCCATTGGCGTGCGAAGCTGTGCGCCATTCAAGTTAGTGTTCAGCGAGGTGAAGAGAGGGTTTGCGCGGGTTGAAGAGCTCAGGCGGTTCAGCTCTCAACAAGCAGAGAACAGTGGACGACCTCAGACTCGAGGAGAAGTGTTGGAAGACAACGATCAAGAGGACGCAGGTGGTTGGCCGATGATCTCTGATGAGGCTGCTTCTTCCAACGCTATCTTAGCCATCCTGAAGAAAGCTACACCCGTGTGCGAGATCCTCTTCGACGACAACGTCATCTTCTATGACATCACTCACCGTGAGCTCGTCGAGCTGTTTGGCTTGCAACCTCGTCATCTGCGAGTCTTCACGCAGAAGCGAGCGCTGACAGGCATCATTCCCTACGAGAACATGGTTGTCTTCAAGTTTGAGCACCTCAAGGGGCTGCTCTTCTGGGATCGGATCATGGTGTTCGATGCAGACATGCCGTCAGTGCAGGCCTTCACTCTAACGCTACGGGCAAGCATCAGGAGGAACGAGTTGATCCAAGAGAGACTGAAGCAACCCTTCGAGCTCGTCGTGCTCGAGTGCCTCCTGGACGAGCTGGCAGTCTACTACGAGTCCTCCTTCAGCCGGCTCTACTACTTGATCAACCTGCACCTCGACAAGATTACCTCGGGACAGGGAGACGACGTGAGAGAAGATGGGCTTTACAAGCTTCTACCATTGGAGCACAGGATGTCCTCGCTGCAAGTCCGACTCGATCGAGCTTTCAAGACTTTGGACCAGCTGCTTGCTACCGACGAAGACATGGCTGCTTGCTACTTGACCTTCAGGCATGAGCAGGGAGAACCAGCCCCGCCTGATGAGCACATGCAAGTCGAGCTGATCATGGAGACGTACAGGACAAGAATGGAAGATCTGCTCGATCGCATTGCCGAGGTGTTTCGTCAGATCGAGTCAACACGCACAGTATTCGCCCTCTCACTCGACAACACGAGGAATCGTATCGCCCGGATGGACCTGAGCCTCACCATGGGCGCCGTCTCCCTCAGCTTCTCGATGGCCATCGCGGGATTCTTTGGCATGAACATCACACATGGCTACGAGCATCATCCGCCCCTCGTGTTCTGGTCCGTCATGGGATTGGGGGTCGTCGGCTCGATGGCGATTTTTCATCTGTGCCGCAAGCAACTCGCATCGATGCGATCGACACAGAACAACAGGATGCGAGACTTCCGTGTGTTCAAGAGCGTCTTGGAGAATCTTGATCAGGTGCACTACCTCCTGCGACGCGACACGGACCTCAGCCATAGGTCTGTCACTCAGGCCCGAGCTCTGCCTCGTCCCCCTGCTCATTCGCTTTCAGGATCGTCAAGGGCGGCAAACTGACAAAAGACGAGCTGAAGAAGATGCTCTCGTCTATCCCGGACAAACAGCATGATGCAATCGTGGGGGCAGGAGCAGTCTCGAAAGAAGAAGTAGATCTGCTCTATGAGGTACATGTGCTTCCGCTTCCTGGCTCTGTTGCACTTGTGACTGTCGTTTCCCTCAAGATCCTCAACACCAACAAGGACGGGCTTGTGGAGAGATCCGACTTCTTGGAGGAGGTAGTAGATGCTTCTTCAAATATCGCCTGACTTGCTTCCAAGCTTGCTCACTGGGCCACCATGAAGGACACGAAGAAGGGAGGTCAGCCGCTGTCAACCCTTTCATGTTGTCTCACGTTGCTGCAGATGTTGGCAGACACATGCTTCCTCAGCACAAGATATCGTCTGACAGGAGATTTCAATAGAGCATGTCTGACTGAGTACAAGTCCCTATAACATATAGTCTGATAGCTGGCTTATGACAGGAACTAGTCTTTTCTGCTCCCATCTTCTCCTTCTTCCTCCCTCCTTCCCTCTCTCCCTCGTTGCGACCTCAAATGAGCCAGCAGGTCGGCCAGCTGGACTCACTTGGTCACGCCCACCTGATGTTCAGAGTCACAAGGCAGGCAGCAGCAGGAGAGACCAGACCTCAGCAGGGCGGAGAACGCGGTCGTGAATCATGTAGCCTGACTTGACCACAGCCCCGACCACACCCTGCGAGAATTTCAGCAAAGAGAAGCAAAGCCGACCTGTCCTCCACCTTCTCTTGCCCTTCTCCTGCTGGCATCTCGAAGAGAGCTGAATGCAAGTTGGGGTCGAACTTCTCGCCCATGGGGCTGTACTTGGTGATCTTGTGCGAGTAAGACGCAAAGCACACAAGGAAGAAGCTTACGTGCGAGTCCGAAAGAGACTTGAGGAAAACTTTTTCTATCAGCTCCAGTCCGTCGTAAACCTACCAAACCATGACTCTACGTGCAGACCTTTTCCCCTCCTGACCTGCTTCAAGTCTTCGTTCTCCTTGAGTTTCTCTGCCGGTACCGCCTGGCGCATATCACCATCTCCATCTGCTCGTCCATGACTTCACCTGAAGTGCCTTTTCCAGACAGTCCGCAACCTCCAGCATTCCTTTAGCGAACCCTCGCACCTGCTCTGTTCTAAGCAAGAGCCCTGGCAGAGATGCGATTACCGCAAACTTCTTATCTTCTTCAGACCGAATCCTCATTTGCGTTCTCATGTTCTCGACGTCGGCGAGGTAAGTGAGGACCCTGAGGAGAAGCTATGAGGACGTCAAGGATCTCGCAGGCTCTCACTTGTTCTTCAGCTCCTTCGTTTCTCCATTGAGCTTTGCAATCTCCTCATCCTTGGACTTCAACTGAAGTCTCCAGTTAAAGAGAATCGCTGAAGAGGAGGGAGAGAATCGAATTTCTCGCCTGAGCTGTCAGGTCCCCTTTGTCCTTTGCTCCTTCACTTCCCTGCTCCTCATTCTTTCCGTTGCTGTTCTTCTGGTCTTGTTCGGTCTTCACGTCATTCTGACTTTTATCCTTCTCCTCAGAGTCTTGTGTTTGCTTTGAACCTGAACACATCGAGCGAAGCTGCTGCGACTGCCATGCAGGCAGCGCGATGATTGAATCAGCTCTGCAATGCTGTGCACGCGTCACACAAACAGTGTCAAAAAGTTTGCTTTCACCATGTAGCGAAATTCATTCATCGCCGATCTGTTTGCATGCAGTGGTGCAGATGTCGCAGCACGCACATTTCTGGTGATCGCAATAGAAACGATTCTTGTCGGCTGTTTCAGCAGTTGCTTGGCAAAGGATGCAATCATTGGACAAAACTTCATGCATATCAGTTCGAAATGTAACAATCGGATCCATGACAAAGGATTGATTCTTGCCTTCTCGATCTACTCAAAACTACCTCCTCTACGTGTCATCCTACACAACTGCCCTCATATCTTCCCCTCTCCTGCTGCTTTTCTATACTTTAGCGTACTTCTCCTTCCTCTTCGTCTCCCTCCCATCTCCTGCTGTTCACACTTCTTTGCCGTCCTCCCTCTCCTCCAATCTTCCTTTTCTCGCATCTCCCTGCATGCCCTGCATCTTCTTCCTCTCCTCCCTCCTCTCCCTCCTCTTCTCGCCCCTCCTCTCCTCTCTCCTCTCCCTCCTCTTCTCGCCCTCTCGCAGTTTGTTTCGCTTCTGCCATCTTCTCTGGCCTCTTGTGCTCACGAGAGCGTGAGTTCTGCCCCACGCCGACGCTATTCCGAGGACTATCTGCTGGTGCTGCCCTCCGCCTCGCTTACCTCTTGCGTGATCCGAGTCAGCAACCCCAAGGCAACACCGGGAAACCAGATAGCAAGCGAACCATGCAGAATGAACTGACGCGACAGCCGAGAGCAGGAGAAGGCGATGAAGAAGGAGGAAGAGGAAGATGATGACAGACAGACATAGACATAGACATAGACATAGACATAGACATAGAGTGCAGTGAGGTGAGGACCTGACAGGGATGGAAAGGAGATGGAGCAAGGGAGAGTGCCTGTGATTGAAAGTTCATGTTCTAAAGAGTAGAATGAAGAAGCAGTAAGACGGAATGCTTGACTCGCTTGTCTGTCAGTCCGGATGTCCGCCAGTGAAGCCGTACCAGAGTCTGTGGCCAACAGGATCCCAGACTTGAACTTGCAACTGCGATCAATCTCTTCGCTAGAGGTCAGTCAGAGGTCAAAGCCCAAGGCCAGCGCTCTCACGCCCGAGGTTCATCAAGTCATGTCCATCATTTGCTGACGGGCGTGCAGGCAAGCCATGACTTCTCTCAAGACCCTGAGGTCCCTGCAGTCGATCTCAGCAAACTACCAGCGAAAGGATCGGAGTTTGAGGTGCTGCCGATGCTTGTCGAGCACAAGGGATGGCCCTGCCAGTTGCTCTTCGACGTTCACTCGTGGATCCTTCACACCCCCAACCTGGAGAATCACAATAGAAAGCCTGGAATCCGCGTCATCCTAGCCAAAGCTGAGACGCACGGGCCCAAGACAACGCCATACACCATCTACGTGATGCATGTGAAGACAGCCTTCTCTGTGCGAGGAATCAGCCGGAGATTCTCAGACTTCAAGAAGCTCGACGAAGAGCTGCGACAGGTCAAGCGATCTGCCCCGCCGCTGCCTCGCAAGAAAGTCTTCGGGAAGATGGCGCCCAAGTTCATCAACGAGCGAATGAAGCAACTGCAGAGCTACGTCGACGCGATCATGCGTGACCCAGCCTGCGCCAGCAGCCCTCCCTTCCGAGCGTTCCTTGAGACCAGAGGACATGCGATAGAGGAAGACATCCTCGACAAGGTGCAGCTGTCTCGTGACAACGTCGACGTCGGCATCCTCTTTCCTCCCTGGCGACTTGCCACTGGCACGCGGGTGGAAGCCGTTCAAGGGCTGGTCGAGCGATCCAAGGGGCTCAAGGACGTGCGGCAGCAAGCCCGGGCGCTGAACCAGCTGGCGATGGTGCACAGGGAGGAGGGAGACATCGGGCAGGGGCTGGAAGCGATTCGACAAGCCGTTGGGTGCTGCCGTCAAGTGGACGAGGACGTCGGTCTGCTGTGCTGCTCTCAAACATGGGCAGCCTTTCATTTTCAGAGAGGTCATCGCCTCCTCCACTTTCTCGTCACTTCTACTCCTCCACATCATCATCATCATCATCTCCATCATCATCATCATCATCATCATCTCCATCATCCTCCTCATTTGCTTTTCCAGGCGAACATGCTTTGGCAGAGCTTCGCTTGCGAGAGGCACAAAAACTCGCAGCAGGTACAAACATCAGCTTGTTCTTCATCAACTCTGACACTCGACAGACTACGGTGATGTCTCCGGACAAGCTCTCTGCCACTACTCGCTCGCCATGGTGAAGTGCAGTCGAGGAGGCATCGCAGAGGCAGGCAAGGACTTCACCTGCGCCGCTGAGCTCTTCGTCAACATCAAGGAGTATGGTCTCGCAGCCCTCAGCCTCTTCGTACTAGGTTGTATCCTCTTGCAGAACGGCGAAGTGAGGCAGGCGGTAGAAGTGCTGGAGAGTAGCTTGCTGCTACGAAGAAGGTGAGGGAAGGGAGTGGATGAGGAAAGGGGGCGGAGGGAGAGGCTGAACGAGAGGCTGAATGCATGGCAGGGCCAAGGAGAAGATCGGGCTCGCAGAGACTCTCTGTGCTCTCGGTCAAGCTTTCGCAGAGATCGGATATCAGCTGCATGCCATGGACTACTTCAATCAAGCTCTTGCTCTCTGCCAGGCCTGAGACCTCCCGCCATTGCTGACCACAACCATGACGCGCATTCTGCAGGAAGTGGGGGACCGGGAGGGAGAGGCGGTCTGCCTGCGTCATCTGGGCGTCGTACATCACCTGCACGGCAAGGGAGGGAGGGGAGGAAGGAGAGGGAGTGAGAGCTGCGGCAGGAGACCATCAGGAGGCTGCTCGGGTCCTCACGGCCAGCCTGCAGATGTCCACGAGCAGAGGCGACGCGGAGGAGCAGGCCTTGTGTCACGAGAGCATCGCTGCTGTCCAGCTGGACCTGGGGGACCCCAGGATGGCGACGATGCACTTGGAGGAAGCGCTGGCTTTGTCGGAGGCGTTGGTGGAGGAGGTGAGAGGCTGTTCCTGTGAGCAGCTGATGCTTTGACAGCACCGCCATGTCGAGGAGCCACAAGAACCCGCAGACCCGCACGATCCGGGGGCAGCAGGGGGCGAGAGCAGCGGGGGAAGCAGAAGATCGCAGGTAAAGCTCGAACGGATCCAACAGAAGCTCGAGGAAGCCAAGAGATTTTGCGTGACGGGCACATCGAACGGGGAGGATGGAGCGGTGAGGTGCTGCCTGCCGCCCCGCCCTCGCTGATCGTCCTGCAAGGTTGTTTCGCTTCAGACGGAGAGGGCCGACGAATGGAAGAGGTGAAGCGAGGGAGGAGGAGGAGGAGGAGGAGCTGACGGCTGCCAGGCTTGAGGACGAGGAGATCGTAAAGGTGCCGCTGAGTATCAGGAGAGAAGATGGGGAAAAGGCGGAAGGACCCAAATTTCCTCTCAAGTTTAAGCTGAAGATGCCTGGTGAGACCATTAGTAAACGCAAGCAGAGCAGAGAAGAGCGAGAAGAGAGCAAGGAGCAGCATGGTGACTTTAAATTCAGGACAAGAGCTTGCCTCGCACTTCAAGTTTCTTCAGGTCTGATGGCGGAGGAGCTTGTTGAGGATTGACAGGCTGGCAGTCTTGGAGCGTTCACAAGAAATACTACGAGAGAGCAGAAGCAGACTGAGACGAAGATAAAGTCTACCTAAACTACCTGAGCTAAACCTCCTCATGCTTCCCGCTTCTTAGAAGCCCCAGCCCACACTGAGCGAGGAGTCCTGCTCAGCAGCACGCTCGCTGCTTCCCCAGATGTGTCGATGCTCGTGCCGCGCTCACGGGCAGGACATACTTGATCAAGTCAAAGCATGTCAACTACTGTTATCTTCAGAATTAACTCTCATGGTGTCAAGCAGGAATGGCAGGGACAGCGCAACACACAGAGATTCCGAAATTCCGTCATTGATACAGCCGATCGGTAGTATAGTTTTACTCGCATAAGGTAAAAATATCTCTAGCAGAAGAAAGCAGCAACAAGCAAGATCGTCATGCATCACAGTCGGGGATCGTCGGTCTCGACGGCAGGTACCCACGTGCAGGTCTTGCTTGTTCCAGGGGCCTAAGAGTTTTACTCTGACAAGGTAACAAAAGCTTCAAGATCATGTACACAGCGCACAGCGAGGAGCTGTACAAACACACACAAAAAACAAGACCAAAATGCGAGTCTCGAGCTACCACCCCCTCAAGGCCTTCCCGCACCGCTTCGGGTGTCTCCGGAGAGCCTCTCGACACCACTGGGGTGCTTGCTGCTGGTCCGAGCTCGCCTGCTTCCTCCCCGGCATCGGTCGGGTCACGCCGGTCCTTGGGCATTGCTGCGGCGTCGCCGCCGTCACGGGCGGTGTTGGTTTCGGCTACCGCTGACTCGGAGGCTAGCGAGGAGGACTACCTCGAGCGGTACCGTGTTCCTGTGTCCAGCCTCCCTCCGTCCGCTGCCCCAGGCGGACCCCCGGGCAACGCCGGCTCCTTGTCGGCGGCCCGGAGGCTGCCCTTTCTCCGTCCGCGGCCGCCCGCTTTGTGGCGGCAGCGGACGTCTCGACTGACAGTGGTCAGTCGGCTGCCTCCGGGTATCGCGTCTAAGGGAAATTATTCCTCCTGCATGCTCCTGCTGCTTGTTGCTTGATTCTGCGCGGCTTCGCGCTTGGGCTGGCGATGCCGCGTCTGGTTGCCAGCAGTGCTGGTTCTTTTCGGGCTTGTGTTTTGTGTGTGATTGTGCAGCTTGTCGCTGTGCGCTGTGTGCCTGGAGGTTTAGCTTGTTCCTGCTTTGTTTTGCTTGAGGCACTTTTTACCTTCTGCCAGTAAATCCTATGATCAGTTCCTCCTGCATGCTCCTGCTGCTTGTTGCTTGATTGCCTGACCCTTAGGCTGCTTGTCTGCGCGGCTTCGCGCTTGGGCTGGCGCTGCCGCGTCTGGTTGCCAGCAGTGCTGGTTCTTTTCGGGCTTGTGTTTTGTGTGTGATTGTGCAGCTTCTCGCTGTGAACTGTGTGCCTGGAGGTTTAGCTTGTTCCTGCTTTATTTTGCTTGAGGCTCTTTTTACCTTCTGCCAGTAAATCCATTGGCCAGTAAATCCTATCTCCCCAGATGAAGCGGAGGGTGTCAGGATGCAGAAAGCCGTCCGTCGAGATGGCAAGAGGGATGAACGCTCGAGGACAGTAGGATTTACTAGGAGGAGTCTCTCTAGGACTGTTTACTCGCAGAAGGTAAAAAGGAGTAGTCATGGCATATCCAGCGCGATGTTTGCGAATCTTCTCAGATGCTGCTACAATGCTGAGAGAGGCTGCAACTTGGAGGGCGTCGAGGTTGACATCCCCCCACTTGGTCAGGTCGGCAGAGCGACCAATGTAGGGAATGAAGCCAACGGATTTTCTGGCAGAAGGTAAAACAAGCAAAACCAAGCAGGAACAAGCGAAACATGCTTGCACACAGCGCACAGCGAGAAGCTGCACAAACACAGACAAAACACAAGCCCGAAAAGAACCAACCGTCAGCAGACCCGGCACCGCCAGCCCACGCGCGAAGCCGCGCAGACAAGCAGCCAGTAAATCCTATTCGCGATTCGCTCATTTCTTGACCAGCACTTCCTCTCGTCACGGCGTCTCACCCTCGAGCGATTCAGTTCGGACTCGATCGAGACGGCTGTCTGAAGTTCTCGCAAACCGCGTCAGCGCTCCTGCCCACACATGAACACGGTACCGCTCGAGGTAGTCCTCCTCGCTAGCCTCCGAGTCAGCGGTAGCCGAGTCAGCGGTAGCCGCCCGTGACGGCGGCGACGCCGCGGCAATGCCCAAGGACCGGCGTGACCCGACCGATGCCGGTGAGGAAGCAGGCGAGCTCGGACCAGCAGCAAGCACCCCAGTGGTGTCGAGAGGCTCTCCGGAGGCACCCGACGTCACAGTGAAGCGACGAATCTGTGACTGGACCCGCGGGAGAAACGGAGATGACCCCTGGAGGAAGAAGCGCAGCTTCTGGAGATGGCTCGCCCTCACCAGCGTCTTGAACATGAAGCCATGCTGGACGAGCCCGAGCTTCGAGAGCTCTTCGTTGAGGGTAGAAACCTTCGCTCGGAGCTGACTAGCATGAAATCCATCCGTGCCGATAGGCAGGCCGCCAAGTGTAATCCCGCCAGTGATATGGAGGAACAGGGGGTGGATACTGTGGCAGAAAAATACGCTGGAGGGGACATCGCCCTGACAGACGCCCGAGGTACACTGAAGAACGGAGGCTGACTGACTTTTGTGAAAGAGTCGAAGGTCAGCAGAGTCTCGATAGTAGCTGGATAGGTAGGAGGCGAACAAACGGAGATGCTCGCAAGAGGGCAAGCTTGCGCCTTCAGTGATGCTCCCATCAAAGTAGTCGCGACTCGCACGTCCCTCGATTGCATCGAAGAGAGCCTGGCGGTCGAGGGAGTTGAAGGCGTTCTTTGCATCCAAACTCACCAGCACTGTGGGGTTGGCAACATCCTCATCATCACCGCGAGCGTGAAGCCAGCCTCCCTCCGTCCGCTGCCCCAGGCGGACCCCCGGGCAACGCCGGCTCCTTGTCGGCGGCTGCCCTTTCTCCGTCCGCGGCCGCCCGCTTTGTGGCGGCGGTCAGCGGACGTCTCGACTGACAGTGGTCAGTCGGCTGCCTCCGGGTATCGCGCCTAAGGGATTTTCTTCCTCCTGCATGCTCCTGCTGCTTGTTGCTTGATTGCTTGACCCTTAGGCTGCTTGTCTGCGCGGCTTCGCGCTTGGGCTGGCGATGCCGCGTCTGGGTGCCAGCAGTGCTGGTTCTTTTCGGGCTTGTGTTTTGTGTGTGTTTGTGCAGCTTCTCGCTGTGGACTGTGTGCCTGGAGGTTTAGCTTGTTCCTGCTTTGTTTTGCTTGAGGCACTTTTTACCTTCTGCCAGTAAATCCTATACCAGACCTCTCTGTCCACCTGGCGCTTGAGAAATACCACCGCTGGCCTTCCTCGCAGTACCTCGCCGCGCATCCCGACCTGCTAGAGTTTGCGAGGTTCAAGCGGGAGCTTCCGCATAGTCGGGGAGGGGACGAGTTCACGCCCTGTGAGGGTCTACACCCCGCTGTTTACTATACGGCTATCGCTCGCTTCCTCGCTTGGTACTCTGACCAGCCGATGTCCCGGACGTTGCCCTCTCCTCATAGCCTGGACGTTCACTGCTCGAGATCTCTCCGTGCCCAGAAGCATCCTCTGGCGACCTTCTTCGTTGAGGCGCACGACTTCGTTCATAATGCTGGAGCGATCCTCTACCGTCGTGTGAGGGCTCCTGCACTGGCTGCAGATGGCGCGGCGATCCCACCTGCCCCGGCTGCTGTGCCTGATGACGCAGGACGCCCCCCGGCATCTGTGGTACACATCCCTGGTTTGCGCGCTCTCGTCGACTCGTCTCATGAGCACTTCATTCCTCCGCCTGCGCAGCGAAATGTGACCCCTCTTGTCATGCGCGTCTTCCCTCGCCATGTGCATGCTCGCGCTGCGCTGACCGATCAGCAGCGTGATATCCTCACCTTGCACAGCCGCAGGACATACTCGCTCAAGTCGCAGGATAGGGTCTTGCAGTCTACCATCTTCGCTCATTTTCCTGAGCGTGACCTGAGTCACTCTCCGATGCGAGTCTCGAGCTACTACCCCCTCAAGGCCTTCCTGCACCGCTATGCTCAGATGCTCGACTGCTATCTCCATGGCATGCCGATCTGCCAGTGTCCGACGGAATGTGATGGATGTCAGCGCGAGCTCGATCCCTCCGTTGCTGCACATCATCTCCAGACCTGCAAACGCCGATCCTCCAAGCTTCCCACGGCGCATGACAACCTTACTCGTACGATTCGGTCGATGCTGAACGAAGTTGGTCTTCAGAGTATTCAGAGCGTCATCGATACAGTGGGGGATCCTCGTTCTCGACGGCAGGTACCCTCCCATCCTCATGGCCGCAAGATGAAGGGCGATATCCACATCCCTACCTTCTGCCAGTAAATCCTATACTCCTGGAATCCGCGATCGAGTCGCATAGGATTTACTGGCAGAAGGTAAAAAGTGAGGGTCCGAGCAGTACGAGGGCTTGATGGCGGACGTGACGTTGGTCCACCCTTACATTGGCAGCTCTGCCGACCTGACCAAGTGAGGTCAACCTCGACGCCCTCCATGTTGCAGCGTCTGAGAAGATTCGCAAACATCGCGCTGCATATGCCATGACTACTCCTCCTCGAGCGTTCATCCCTCTTGCCATCTCGACGGACGGTACCCTGCATCCTGACACCCTCCGCTTCATCTGGTATCTGGCGGACATCATTGCTCAGCGCTCGATGCCTCTTGAGGATGCGGCGTTTGGTCGGCACTTCGTGCCTGATTTACAGACCTGCTGCTGAGGTCTTGGCTCGCAAACGCGCCGCCACCTATCAGCGCCTCACTATGCAGCTGACGCTGGAGGCGCTCTTGTCTGGTGCGAGGCGCATGACGCCCTTGCGGGCGCAAGCACTTCTCGAGCCAGAGGACAGCTCCTCCTCGGACTTTGTCGAGTCGCCCGAGGGGGAGTCTTCGGCGGAGGTCTCCGACTCCGATGGGGGAAACACGTCGAGTGGCCCCGACGATCGGCGCGGAGCTGGCGAGGCGTCTCCGTCCCTCACTGTGACGTCGGGTGCCTCCGGAGAGCTCGACACCACTCGGGTGCTTGCTGCTGGTCCGAGCTCGCCTGCTTCCTCCCCGGCATCGGTCGGGTCACGCCGGTCCTTGGGCATTGCTGCGGCGTCGCCGCCGTCACGGGCGGCTACCGCTGACTCGGCTACCGCTGACTCGGACTCCGGAGGCTAGCGAGGAGGACTACCTCGAGCGGTACCGTGTTCCTGTGTCCAGCCTCCCTCCGTCCGCTGCCCCAGGCGGACCCCCGGGCAGCGCCGGCTCCTTGTCGGCGGCTGCCCTTTCTCCGTCCGCGGCCGCCCGCTTTGTGGCGGCAGCGGACGTCTCGACTGACAGTGGTCAGTCGGCTGCCTCCGGGTATCGTGTCTAAGGGATTTTATTCCTCCTGCATGCTCCTGCTGCTTGTTGCTTGATTGCCTGACCCTTCGGCTGCTTGTCTGCGCGGCTTCGCGCTTGGGCTGGCGATGCCGCGTCTGGTTGCCAGCAGTGCTGAATATGGAGAGGATTTACTGGCAGAAGATAAAAAGTGCCTCAAGCAAGACAAAGCAGGAACAAGCTGAACCGGCAGGTACACAGCGCACAGCGACAAGCTGCACAATCACACACAAAACACAAGCCCGAAAAGAACCAGCACTGCTGGCACCCAGACGCGGCAGCGCCAGCCCAAGCGCGAAGCCGCGCAGACAAGCAGCCGAAGGGTCAAGCAATCAAGCAACAAGCAGCAGGAGCATGCAGGAGGAAGAAAATCCCTTAGACGCGATACCCGGAGGCAGCCGACTGACCACTGTCAGTCGAGACGTCCGCTGCCGCCACAAAGCGGGCGGCCGCGGACGGAGAAAGGGCAGCCGCCGACAAGGAGCCGGCGCTGCCCGGGTGTCCGCCTGGGGCAGCGGACGGAGGGAGGCTGGACACATGAACACGGTACCGCTCGAGGTAGTCCTCCTCGCTAGCCTCCGAGTCAGCGGTAGCCAAGTCAGTGGTAGCCGCCCGTGACGGCGGCGACGCCGCAGCAATGCCCAAGGACCGGCGTGACCCGACCGATGCCGGGGAGGAAGCAGGCGAGCTCGGACCAGCAGCAAGCACCCCAGTGGTGTCGAGCTCTGCCAGTAAATCCATCTCTGCTGACCTTCGACTCTTTCACAAAAGTCAGTCAGCCTCCGTTCTTCAGTGTACCTCGGGCGTCTGTCAGGGCGATGTCCCCTCCAGCGTATTTTTCTGCCACAGTATCCACCCCCTGCTCCTCCATATCGCAGAGCTTTTTCCCTCTGTTCGAGTCTTGGCCTATGCTGACAACGTCGTGCTTGTCGGTCCACTCGAGGATGCCGTTGCAGCTACGTCCGCTAGAGATTCAACCTCGCCTGAGTCTGATCTCTCGCAGCTGAAGAAGAGCCTTAAGCGCCGTCTCAAGACTCAACTTCTTCACTTCGAGGTCGTCACTGGCGGGATTACACTTGGCGGCCTGCCTCGTTCACTGCGGGGCTGAATCTTTCGCTGATCTTCTTGCTGAAGCACAAGAGAAGTTCCCTGATGTACTGCAGGTGGATTTGACTGACATCCTCGACACCACTAGCCTGATCCAGGCGATCAAGCGCTACAGCTCCTTTGCGGGGACCGATGACCAAGGGTGGAGGATTCGGCAACACCTGTCTCCCCTCTCTAGTCATCCTGCAGCTTTGAAGCTCTACTGCAAACATATCTTCCAAGGTAGTAGAGGATTTACTGGCAGAAGATAAAAAGTGCCTCAAGCAAGACAAAGCAGGAACACCAAGGGGTCCTTCTTGGCCAAATGCCGGATCTTCTTATTCCTGCCCTGTCAGCCATTCGTCGAGGAGGCAGATTTATTCCCCTCTCCAAGGGAGCTGATAAACCTGGTCTCCGGCCAATTGTCATCGGTTCCGAAGTTCTGCACACCGTCGACTCGCGACGAAGCTTGCTTTGGCAGCGATTCGCTCATTTCTTGACCAGCACTACCTCCTGGCACACAGCGCACAGCCGACGGTTTTACTAGGCACTTTTTCTAGTACTTTATACGAGTAAAACTCAGACCGTTGACGAAATCGCCATGCGCATTGAAGATCATGGTATCGTAACACAGAGCATTTGTCTCGGACAAAGTATGGACTTGACAAACTTGAATCACTCGCAGAAGGTAAAAAGTGCCTCACTGAAGCAGCAGAAAGCACGCGGCAACAACTTAGCAAAACCGTTAGGCAGAGAGCACACAGCAACCAAAGCGGTTACCGAAAGTAACCAGCTGAGCACTGCAGTGGCAACCTTTACCCATCAGGCTCATACAACAGTTTATTGTTGAAACTTCAATAAACCACCCCCTTCGTTGTAATATCAATAGAATGACATACAAATTACTAGCCGTTATTATCCATACAGATCTTTCAATTGGGGGGGGGGTATTTTTGGTACTATACGCGGGGTGGGTGGATCTTCTTACCTCGAGCACCCCCTGTTATATTTCAGGCAAGAGTTCTTACCTCACCCCAAGTACCCTATACCCTTACTGAGCTGAGACCTGTAGGAAAAATGACCCCTACTGAAAAATGACCCCCCACCCCTCAATTCTCCGTCCCCTCCCCCCCCCCTCCCCCAATGGTGACCCAAAAATTAGAATCTCAAAAAAAAAGTCGAAATCGCGGTGTGGTGCAAACCCCGAACGGTAAAACAACAAAGGAGCAACGAGAATATAGAATGTTGTGATTAAAAAAAAAGAACATCCCTGCAAATCCACCGGTACAAATCAATTCTTCCGAAGTCTAAACACCCGTCTGTTTATCTATCAAAGTAAAAGTAGGGTTGGGTACCAGGTTTGTGGCTCAACAAACTTCGAATATTTCCCGCCTTCCCGCCTTACCGCCTTCATCCGAAGTCTAACTACCCGTTTGTTTATCTGTCGAACTTGAGTAGGGGTGGGTACCAGGTTTGTGGCCTTCCCGCCTTCCCGCCTTCATCCGAAGTCTAACTACCCGTTTGTTATCTGTCGAACTTGAGTAGGGGTGGGTACCAGGTTTGTGGCCTTCCCGCCTTCCCGCCTTCATCCGAAGTCTAACTACCCGTTTGTTATCTGTCGAACTTGAGTAGGGGTGGGTACCAGGTTTGTGGCCTTCCCGCCTTCCCGCCTTCATTCGAAGTCTAACTACCCGTTTGTTATCTGTCGAACTTGAGTAGGGGTGGGTACCAGGTTTGTGGCTCTGTAAAGATTTCCCCGCCCTCCCGCCTTCTCTCCCTCCCTCCCATCCTCCCTCCCGCCTTCCATCACTCCCTTCTTCCCGCCCTCCCTCCCTCCCTCCCTCATTCCCGCCTTCCGAAGCTCCCGCGTTCACCCTGATCAAATATGGGGAAAAGGAAAAGAGGAAAACAAAGAAAGTCTTGTTCTGATTCACAGACGACTGTCAAGATGTGTTTGAAAAAACATCTCAAACATCACACAATGATCGGTGTGATTGATGATTGGGTGAAACACATAAGCAAAATAAGCCATCGAGGTAGCATCATCTTCAATCATCTATTGTTATGGTGTTTTGAGAAGGATTCAATGCAAGGTGATGATACGTACATTACAAGGCTGTTTGATCAGATATACAATCGTACTAGAAAAGTAACAGACAAAGAAAAAGAAGAAGGGATGCAAGAAGAAACGGTCAAGACCAATGGTGGAGAGAAAGTTTTCTTTCGGACCTGTTTTCTGATGGGTGAAAAACGCAGAGGTAATGCAATTCAGTTTGATATTTTAGACGAGTTTTGGCAAGAAAAAGGGAACAAGTATCTACCAATACAACGCAGGAAAGAAGGGGATATTCGAGTACTGTACTATTCTGCTGATCAATATGCAACAAATTTCCAAAATTACATATTCTATACGATGGGACAAAAACAGACTAGATACATAAAGGAATGGGGAAAGCTCAATGGGATTTCTTCAGAAAAGGAGATACAGGATATACGGAATACAGTAAACGGATGGAGCTTTCCACCAAAAACTCGTGTTCTCGAAAGACAGGATGTCATTGATTTCATAAGGGAACAAAAAGAGATCATTGGATGGGACAATCATTATAACTTGTCATGGGCCCGTGACAAAATCAAGAAAAACCCTGAACAGCAAAAATGGATGCAATTACACATGCCAAATCTTGTCAAGTACCATTTTTCGGTTCTGAGGTTTTTGGAGATTCATGATATATCTGATCGATACACGATCGCTCCGATTTTTCAGATACGCAAACAATTTATTCGCGTAGACATTTGGGGTTTATTCTACATTATGGATCAATCTGGTCTGTTGCAATATTCAAAGGGTGGGAAAAGCAAATGCATGAAAAAGTTCATACAACAAAAACATAAGCGATTCTTGTCGGTGTTGAAGCTACAATCAAATTTGAGAAAGAAAGGGACAGTTGATAGCATACAGACTGACGGAGTCGCACTCTGTGTGACGTTCAAGAAGAGAATACACAATGAGACAGACAATACTACTACAAAGAAAAGCAAAACAAGAGATTGTGATGTGTCATCAAGACGAGTTATTGCAATCGATCCTGGTCGCAATGTACTGATATGCGGTGTCGAGCAAATACCTGGTCAAGAAAAACCAAAGCAGTATCGATATACTCGAAGGCAGTACTATCATGAGTCTCATATTACTCGGAATAACGCCAAGTTAGAAAAATGGAGACAAGGCATAACAGAAGAATCAAACGATATTGCAAGAGTGTCAGCAAAAACGTCTCGGTTGGATCACTTTGAAAGATACATCGACACCGTGGTGAGACTAAGCGAGATCCTGTTCGAACACAATTGTCAAAACAAGTTCGCACGCCTGAAGATGGATAACTACATCCACAAACACAAGGCGATTGATACGTTCTTCAAGAAGATGAAAGGTAATGGGACAGATCAAAATCCAATAATTGCATACGGTGATGCATCATTCGGTTGTACTGGGCGTGGAGAGAAGTCAGTGCCTGTAAAATGGATCAAAAGGCGATGTCAGAACTTCTTCGAGGTGACGGCAGTTGATGAATACAGAACGACAAAATGTTGCAATCAATGTCATCAAGAATTGTATGATTTGAGACGCAAACAAATCAACAAGAATGGTATACTTGCTGACGAAGTGTCAGTGGTGCGGGGTTTGAAATGGTGCAGATCCACCAATTGTGTTCAAAACCGTATCAAGTCTCGTGATGTCAATGCTGCTATGAATATTCTATTGTGCTACATGTCTCTACCAGCACGACCAGATTTTCTGAAACGGCCTTGAATCACACATGGGTCTGGTTATACTTCAACCTGTTCTTCATAGAAAGGATGAAGTACGAGTCAGACACAAGGAAATATTGGCGTGTGGGTCTTCAATGATCCATAATTTCGACGGAAAATTTAGAATTTTGAAATTTTATGTTTTGTGTCGTTTAGCTAATAAACTCGACCAGCAAGTTCAGGGCAGAAGGTTGCGAGTTTCATGGCGACGAAGCGTTCAGGGCAGAAGGTCGAGGTGCAGGAGCAACGTCTGCAGCTTGCAGATAGAGAGGAAGCCGTTGATGCTCCTGCACAGAAGAAGCGAGACAAGAAGGCCCGGAAGAGCAGCAGCTTCGCCGGGTCCTTGGAACATGGAGATTTGGTTGACCAAAGCAAGCAACCGGTTTCAATCTGCGTCTGGGTTCCTAAGGGAGGATGCGGCAAAACAACCTTCACCTTCCACATCAGCCGAATCTTTGCTGAGCGAGGATACAAGGTGCTGATGGTTGATTGCGATAGTCAGCGAGACCTGTCCCAGATTTCGCTCCGGAAGAGGTTCGACGAAGAAACAGAGTACCAGGAGGATTACACGAGGTACATCACTAGAGAGGGCCCGAACAAAACGAGCGTCAACCGTACCCTGTATCAGATGCTTCAGCCCCTTATTTCCCAGAATCTTGGGGAGTACCGCATTGCAGAGGCTAACCCTGAAGTCATCCTTGAGAAGACTGACAAGGGAGGCTGTCTGCACTTGCTGGCCGGCCATCATGAGACGGACGTGATCGACTCAAAGCTAGCCTCGCACGAATCCACCATCCAGACCTTTCCGCAAAACGCAGAACTCATTGGTGGGGTGTACGCTGCGATACAACGCGTTGCTCAGAACATGAAAGCTGACATAATCATCTGTGACCTGGCCCCGGGCAAGGGCCCATTCACGCGGGCGCTCATGATGTCTTCAGACTACTACATCGTCCCCGTCAAGCCTGACTTCTACTCGTACGAGGCCGTCACCTCCATCGTCGATCGGATGACGCGGAACCCTGAAGGAGCAACGGGGTTCGCGGCAGAGAATCATTGCTGGATCGAGTACGCGCACACGTACCTTGTTCCCATGACGGCCAAATGCAAGTATCCCTTCCCAAAGAAGAGCCCAAAATTCCTCGGGTACGTCATCACCGATTACTCAGTGCACATCGCCAACAATGGGCAGATGGCTCAAGGTGTGGTCACAGAGCAGACGGCGAGGAATCGCGAGAGATGGATGAACGCCATTCACACGGTGGTTAACAGACGCGTCACTGACCTCGTCAACTTCTCGCTCACCAACGGCGATCGAGTTTCCTCCGCGTTTGAAGTTGCGAGCTACAACGCGCTCAATGTGGTGCCGTACCTCGTGGGGAAGGTTCGGTCCTTCGAGACCCTTCAGTCCATTAGCCACATCTGGGGAGTTCCAGTGCCCTTCCTCGACAAGGATAAGGGACACTTCGTGCGCGACGATGGCTTCGGGCAACTTGAGCCGATGAACGGGCGAGACATTCCCACCTACGTGGCCAAGTGCGACTTCTTCAAGAGGATCTTTGATCAGATCGCATGGACTATGCTTTCTCTGATCCATTCTGACAATGGGCCTGGCCGTTGCAGGATCAAGGAGCCCGAGGACTTGCTGAAGAGCAAACTTGGCGGGCGACCGCCTCCATCTCCTCTCTTCTTCAACGCTGACCGTGACATGTGAGAGATGCTCGTGCGGAGGCTTCTGATAGATGAGTCGAGTCAGTGTAAAGAAGCCGACGACGAGCGGGGCAAATGAAGTTACCTAACTTATTTACTCTTGTCGTGCTAAAGCTTGTTAAAGATCGATCGCATTAGAGAGAAACACATCACCGGAGTTTCACCTCGTGGAAAACGAGGAGCAGAGTATCTTGGCCTAGTATGCCGGCGGACCACTAGGATGTTCAACCAATCCTCAGAGTCCGTGCCTGCCGCTGCTGTGAGCCATGTTTCTTGTCGTACATGGCGCTAGGAGGAGCAGGAGCAGGAGCAGGAGCAGGAGCAGGAGGAGGGGGAAAGAGGAGGAGGATGAGGAGGGGGGGGCGAAGGGGGAAAGAGGAGGAGGAGGAGGAGGAGGAGGAGGGAGGGTTTAGGGAATGGAGTGGAGAATGGGGAACGAGGCTTGCGATTCGACAGGTAAGTGCACTGTGAAGATGAGGGGGAGGTTTGAATTCGGGCATGCAAGAGCTTGATGAAAGATATTCTCTCTCCTTCCTCTTCCTCTGCCCAGCGAAAGGTTGTTCTTCGCACGCTGAGAGGCGATAAGCTCGGGTTGATGGCGATGTCTTTGGTCGAGCAAGAGTATGAGACCAGCACAGAGCAGTTGCTGCCCTCGCACCTCTACGTCCTCATGCACGGCTTCAACTCACGCGCAGAGCACCTCAACTATGTGGCCAAGGAGATGGCGAACAGGCTTAGGCCGTCAGCTGCGGTCTACAGCTCGTTTTGCAATGAAGCGAAGATACCCAACTTCCTGTTCCATCCGACGCATGACGGGATCGACAGTGGGGGGGGGGCGCCTTTCTACAGAGATCCGACAAGTATATACTTCAGCTGGCGGAACTCCTCTTCCAGCCTCTACATCCGCTTCGCTCGAAGGCTCTTTTACGAGCCGTCGACAGCTCAAGAAGAAGAAGAGAGGCAAGGGAGGAGGGGAGGCAGGGGAGGCAGGGGAGGCAGGGGAGGCAGGGGAGCAGGAGAGAGAAGAAGGTGAGGTGTGAGGAGGAGAGGGGAGGAGAGGGGAGGAGAGGGGAGATAAGAGGAGAGAGGACAGGAAAGAGAAGGTGAGGACAGAATGAGAGGAGGAATTGAAGGCTGCGCAGGTCTCGGAACGGGCTCATTCCCCTGACGTACATGACCACTGCCACTCCTCATCTCAGCACGCAAGCGCTGCTGCCCAAGGCACTAGAAAAGATGGTGACGGGGTTGGCGTTGTATGGGGGAAGAAGTGCTAAACAGGTGAGATGAGCGATGAGAGACGCGGGTTGACATGATGGCAGCTGTTGCTCGTGGACCTGGGTGAAAGAGTTGTGCAGTATGCGAGCGGGCAGAGCGTAGAGGACATGTGAGATGTTGGCTTTTCTTCCCTCCTTTTCTCTTCTCGTCTCATTCGGGTGGACAGTCAACGTCTTGCGCGAAGATTGTCAGAAAAGGGAGACATCTGCTTCAGCACTCGAACAAAAGTGATCCCACTCCCCATCCCCCTTCCTCTCTTCCTATCTCCCTCTCCCTCCCCCTTCCTCTCTTCCTATCTCCCTCTCCCTCCCCCTTCCTCTCTTCCTATCTAGATCAGGCTGAGCTATGGGGCAGGGAGTGCTTGAATATCCCCCAATTTCTCCGATCTGCAGAGACGAGGTTGTTGTTTGAGAGCTTCCGTTGCCTGTTTCGCGCTGTGAAGAACAAAAATGCTGAACTGAAGGGAAGGGACACGCAAAGGAGGAGAGGACCGAAAGCGAAGGAGGATGTACAATGATTGCAATCTTCAGTGACCTTAACTTTTGTTTCAGATGACAGCAAAAGGAGCCACTCGCTCCCCTCAGGTTGATCTCCTGCCCCCACTTCCCTCTTGCCTCGTTCCTTCTCGTGCTTCCTTCCTCTGACTGCAGCAGGCGAGGCGCATGAAGGTTCTGCTAGTGGGGGAGGGAGGAGCTGACGCCTTTAGGCTGTCGGGGCTGAAGGAGATTTTCAGGGAAAGAATCAGCCCGCGGTACTCGAGGAGGAACAACAAGTCCGCGGTCGACCTGGACCTCCTCAAGGATCTGCAGTCCCCCTCTCCCCAAGCTGACTCCTCCCGCGCACCTCTCCCCAAGGTGGCAAAATATTCCTGCGAGATTATGGATGAAGACAGGAGAGGAGAGGAGAGGAGAGGAGGGGAGAGGAGAGGAGAGGAGAGGACAAGGCAGGGGAGAGAGGATACACGGAAGTTGGAATTCAGTGGGAATCGCGAGAGAGGAGATTGGAGGGAGCGAGGGGATAGAAATGAGATTTCACTGGTACCTGTCAGATCTCCTTGACTCTCCTCTCTCCTGCCCACGACGGCTGAGGTTCCTGCAAGACCAGCACACCGTCCCCTTCTCCTCGAGATCCACCCCTACATTATGCGCCCAGCCTCCATGTATCCGGCGGCGCTGCCCCAGGCGCCCCCCCGGGCCTTGTCGGCGGCTGCCAGCTCTGCGGCAGCGGACGCCTCGACTGACGCTGTCAGTCGAGGCGTTCTTGGTCGGAAAGCAATTTCTCCGACCATAGGCGCCCAGCCTCCATGTACAGCCTCCATGTACGAGCACACAATAAAAGCTTGCGCAGGAAATCTAAAAAGCTGCGCAGCTTTTATTGTGTGCTCGTTGCTCCTTTGTTCGTCTTGAGGCGCTTTCTCCCTTCTGCGAGTAAAACTTCTTCCTTGGGCCCATAGCTGCGCAGACAAGCGCAGCTATGCGGAAGCTCCCGCTTGGACCTCGCAAACTCAAGCAGCTTTGATGAGTTTAAAACTCAACTCATCTACAAGCCACAAGCACAAGTCATCGTATCCAGGGATGGAACATGAGGCCGCGGCAAGCCTGTAGATATTGCCTCAAGCAGGACCAAGTAAGACGAAAAAGACCTACACACACAAAAGCGCAGCCATGGGGGAGAGGGATGGTAGCAGAGAAAGGGATGGTAGCAGAGAAAGGGATGGTAGCAGAGAAAGGGATGGTAGCAGAGAAAGGGATGGTAGCAGAGAAAGGGATGGTAGCAGAGAAAGGGATGGTAGCAGAGAAAGGGATGGTAGCAGAGAAAGGGATGGTAGCAGAGAAAGGGATGGTAGCAGGGAAGGGGATGTAGTCACATCTTTCATGAGATTACTCAAAAGAACATTGCCGGTGAGGCTCTACATCTTTCATGAGATTACTCAAAAGAACATTGCCGGTGAGGCTCTGCGCTGGCGCACCAGCTGGCCGGCAGCTGGCCGGGCGCACAGGCTGCTTATGGTCAGCCAGTATGTGCGGATACCACCTTTGTAGCACGCATGGTGGTTTATGGTCGGAGACATGCTGCCCTCGTCCTGCTGGTGCGATGAATACCATGCTATGCTATCCTCCTGACTGCTGTATCCTATGCTATGCTGTCCTCCTGCCTGTTGTATCCTATGCTATGCTGTCCTCCTGCCTGTTGTATCCTATGCTATGCTGTCCTCCTTCCTCTTTTTCTGCCAGTCCTCTTCTGTTTCCTCTTCTATCTTCTTTTATCGTTTCAATGATCCCGCCTCCGCTGCACTCCGATTCCTTCACCACCTTTCTGCTTGTTCCCTTGCCTTTTCTTTGTTTGCTTCTTTCCTGTGTTTTCCTTTATCTTTTATGGACCTGCCGAAATACATCTGATCCTTTTCTTGTTTAATCTAGATGATTTGTAGTAGTTGTGGTACATGCTCCCATGGATTCAAGCGACTGGGGTCAACGAAACTTTGCGAGGGTTTCATGTTCTGTCCTTCATTCCTCTTCAAAGGCACGCGTGTCATACCTGCAGGGCTCAACATGTGCAGGGCTGGTTCGAGGTAAGCACCAAAGGGATTGTCATGATGTAATCTGGAATCTTAGTGAATTACACGAAGCTGAAAAAAGAATAATGGAAATGGAGAAAACTATTAGACAGCAAGCCATGAAAATTCAAGAGCTCGAACACCTACTGGTTGAGAATAGCATGGTGGACGGAAAGGTACCCTCGTTTATCATTCAACTCGTGCATGCTAACGGGTGTACAAGAGAGGGATTGCCTCGTCCGATGAGAGTCAAAGCGTCGATGAGAGGTTTTGGAACGCATCAGACTTGAGGAGGTTTTACTCCAGCAAGCCGATTGGGTTCATAAGGACTTGCTTTCCGACCAAGAACGGCTGCCCCCGCCAAGGAAATCTTGTATGAAGGCAGATGCTATTTCACCGCCGCTCAATCAATGAGTTGCAGGCTCCAACCTCTCTCGCGAAGCTACGAGTTCACTTTGGTTCGAACCCGACGCACAGGCGAGTGAGCTGACATCAGCAGTTACTGCTCGCTCACTTTCTTGTTCAGCTTGGACGGCTTGGCTGACTTCTCGCACCTCTGGGTGTTTTTCGTGTTCCACCAGAATGAGAATGTGAGGGAGGCTCTTGCTCGACCCTCTTTGCCTTACTTTCATACCAAGTCAACTCCTAAGCCGAAAGTCTATCCTCCTCGCCTAGACGGCAAGCCCAAGGTAAAGAGAGGGTAAGAAGACCCGCTGGTGTCAAGTAAGGGTGACCCTAGGGAGTGTTTGCCACCCGCTCTCCCCATCGACCCCACCCGTTGGGGTTGACTCTCTCCAAGATCGACAAGGTGGAGCATGACGTGATCTACCTAAGCGGCGTGGATCTCGTCGATGGGACTCCGGTCAACCCCATGGTTCGCAAAGAGGAGGACTTACCTGGCTTCAGGTGATCGACATTAAGCCCTACATCGCCGTCTACGACTCTCCTCGACCCTCGGACGAAGTCTTTGCTCCGACATGGTCTCTACCAGAGGGCAAGAGGGAGCTGCGCGTTGAGTTGAGTGAACAAGCTCTGATGGTCCTGCTGGCTGTGCCTGGTGACGAATGACTTGCAAGGACAGGACATCTTGGTGCTGGAGTCCAGCAGAGAAAGACCAGAGCACTTCTCGAGCTGGAGGGAAGCAGTTGCCGGGCTGCAGGAGATGCTGGCCTTGGATCCAAGGTCAGCGTACAGGAGAAACAAGTGCCGAGATGTCGTCTATCCCGTCTACTACGATCGCTTGAACGTCTGTTGCAAGTTCCTTGACGCCGATGCAACTCACTCAGAGTCTGTCCAAGTCATGAACATCTCCTTGCGCCATGGCCCGACAGATAGAAGTCTTGCTGCAAGTCTGGAGCCACTTGAGGAGCCTGGAGCGCAAGTTGCCGATGAAAACCTCAACGCGCGGAGGAGGAGAGACGGTCGAATGGATCTGAACTTCAGCGAGATTTCAGTGAAGGCAGGCACGCGGCTCCCTGACGCACTCTTCTCCTCCTTTCCTCAGTTCTTTCCGTCACTTTCCTCGGCTCGAAAAGCAATCCGTCGTAGAGAGGTGAAATGAGCAGTCTATGTCTTCTTCTCTCTGTTCCTCCCTCCTCGTCTTGCCTTACCCTTCCTTGTCATGTTCTTGTCTGTGCGTTTGTATTTGCCATGCCTTGTCTTCTGTGCCGAGCTTCTTCCTCACTTCTGTTCGTTATGTCGTTCTCCAAGCAGATTCTCTGCAACAACCGAATAGCAACTTGCGGCACAGCGCTCGAGCAAGGAGACCGGATCTCCATGTTGCCCAGGAAGGAGAGGGACAGGACGAGGATTCCCAGAAGCAGGAGTAAGAGAAGCGAACAGTCGATGTCGTCTCATTGCCTCACAGGCTCACCCGTCAGGCATCGCTCGCCAAGCAACGAGGTGAGGGAGACAGAGGAATTTAGTTGATCGACTTCCCTTCTCACCTCTTCGCAAGTTGATTGCTCTCGTTGTTCGCTGCATGGCGTCTCTCAGTCGCGCAAGTCTTCGCAGGTCTTGTGCTCTCTCCTCTCCTTCCTGAAGTCGTGCGGGCAGAAAGCCGCGGGTTCTCTTCCTGGACGACGAGCTTGTTGTAGTCGAGAAACCAGAGTGAGCTGAGCCGCGTGAGACCCGAAAAGCTAAAGACAGAGTCACGTCAGACACCTCCCAACAACGTTTCCTCGCGGCATTGAAGGCGCAAGACGGAGAGCAACAAGCGAGCACACAGATCTCACAACGTTTGTGACTGAAACCCTCCAGGCAAAGCGCTTCTCACTCCTCTCAGTCCTCTCCTCTCATCCTCTGAATCCTTCTCACTTCGTCTTTCTCCTTCCTCTTGCCTTCTCTCACAAGTGCATGTCCTGTTGTTGCATGTCGTGTCATTGTCTGCTCAGGCCAAGGGGTTCACAACAGACTTCATCGCGCCTTGTCATCGACTTGACAGCGCTACTGGAGGGCTCGTCGTCTTCGCGAGGTGAGGATGTGTCAGAGGAGGCACGTGCACATCACCTCCTGCAGGTCAAGACAAGCGGCTTTCAGGATATCTCAGCAGTTTGAGGATCGAGCCATCGGGAAGGAGTACCTGGCGGTGACTGCTGCGCTCCCAGCTGCGCTCCTCTAGTTCCTTGTCACCTCAGCATTAGGTCGTCGTCGGGGACGCTTCTCGGTATGGACTCGTGGGAACCATCGACAGAGAGATCGACGGCAAGTCAGCGATCACCAACTTTCAAGGTGAGCATGTCTGATCTTGTTGCTGCCTCATTTCTCTTGCCAGTCTTGTCTGTACGCTCGAGTCGCAGGTGTGCGTCGTCAACCTCCTCGCTGTGAGTCTTACTAGTCTCATCGTCAGGTATGGCAAGGTCACTCTTCTCCTGCTGCGTCCGCAAACAGGGAGGAGGCATCAGCTCCGGATTCATCTCTCGCAGTTGGGACATCCGATCCTCGGGGATGACAAGTACGGGGTCTCACTCGCTCACTCGCTACTCGCTGGTCGCTCTCAGTGGCTCCTGCAGCCGTCGGGCGACGTTTGAGAGCTTCACCTGCGTCCTCCAGCTGATTCTTGCCCAGCAGGTACCCAGCAAGGTTCAGTGGGTGGACTCGAAGGCTTTGAGCAGGGAGGAGGCGCAGCTGCTGCTTTGGGCCTCCAGGCTGAGCCTGCGACATCCAACTACGAACGAGGAGCTGGAGTTTGAGTCTCGAGCGCCTCCGAGCTTCCATGAGGGCGACAGCAAGTGACCCCATAGCCTTCGCGACTTATATTAAGATCACCGCTTCCATGATGTTGAGCTTGAATACCGCATGCCCATGTTGTGTGTCTGCGCAGCTGCCGTGCTACGGTGACTCTCGGAGTTGCGTGTATGCTCGTCTGGCGTGCGGGTAGTTATCTCTGACTCTGACTCTGACTCTGCCACCGGACTCTCACTCTGACCGTGGCACGCGGCGGCCCGGCGCTGCCCGTCCCTTCTCCCTTCTAACGTTTCTCTTGTAACTTTTCTCTCTTCATTTCCACTCTGTCACTTGTTTTAGCGAACGTCATTTGTTTTTTTGCATATCTTTTTTTTTTTAAAAAAACGTTTTTTTTCACTTTCCGACCCGGCTCGGGCTGTATGAGTCGAATTTCAGAAGTTTTGAATTCGAAACTGCATGGTTTGTGACTTTTCACACGCCTGGCATGGCAGAGGAACGGAAGCGAGCCGAGGAGAGCTGAGAACCTGATGGATGTCCTCAGGCCTGTCTGACTCTCTTTGAGCTCATTTCAAGTTGCTACCTGGTTCATTCCTTCCCTCCTCCTTTTCTCGCCTGTGCCTTCGACCTCTGGCGTCTTTGCAAAACAGAATGACCAGAAATGCGGATTCCTCTCCTCGAGTTCCTCTCTCCCTGTATAGTCCAGGGAAGGTGAACATCCTCCGGCATGGAGAAGATACGAAGGGATTCATCGCTTCCAGCAAGCAAATGAGCTCCAAGGGGACGGCTCAGAGCATAGAGTCTAAGGTCGCATGCTGCGTGCTGGAACTTTTACCCTGACTTGACATCAGAAGAGGCGAATAAGTCAACAACAACTGGCTGATGAAGAGCTGGTAATGCTTGCCTGCTTGAGCTGCTCTGCTGACTTCGCATCTAGATGAGACGACGACGAGCTGCCATGAAGCGTCAGGTATCGTCGTTCGTGCGAAGATCAGACGATGCATGCGTGGAGCAGAGGAGCAAACAGAAGATGCGATACTGAAATTCCTCAAAACAGGCATTTCTCATACAACAAGCTAGCTCTGCATTTGCGAATTCAAGGTGCAAGAGATTTATCTTTCATGCCAAGTTCTTTCCCTCTCCTCCTCTAATTTACTTTTCAGCAGCTACAATTCCCATGGAGATGATCCACCTCCTCGGTCATCATACCTGCTTGGCTCCATCCAGAAGGAAGTTCCCAGACAGACTGTCTTAGATCCGCTCGCCCTGACCGTCGGCGAGCAAGGTGAAAAGAGGAAGGAGAGCTCGAATACTGATCTCTTCGACAAGACGTGAAGCAGCGGACTTCGCCTCAGCCCTGTGCTCCTCCGACTCCTGCCTCGGTCAAGTACCCTCGGGTCTCTTTGCTGCTGGGAAGTTGGATGAACGAGGCAGCTGTTCATTGCCTGACACCAACAATGAGAGAGCAAAGCGGGGAGGACCTGAGAAACTCTGCTCTTGCCTCCCCTCTTCTCCCCCGTCTTGACGCTGCGAGTACTGCTGATGAGACTCCGCGATCAACGAGCAGAAGATTGATGGAGGACTACGCCACCCGGAAGAAAGCTCTCATAGACTCTCTTGTCTCCTCTCACTCCATCCCCTCATCCTCGCGCTCCCACGCTCCGCTGGTGCTGGACGTGTCTTGTCAAGAAGTCACGTCTTCCGCTCTCGCCTCCTCTTCCTCCTGTTCGTCAGGTCTCAACAGCTTTTGATGTGCTCAAGTGACATGCAAGACAGTCGCAATGAAGGATAGGAGGATCACGCAAGACCTGACGGAGCTGCTCGCGTTGGCATCGGGAGCCACCCGTACAAGATGACATCGTTTGACTTGAGCTGACGAGGAGGCTGCAGTCAATGCTCGAGGAGGGAAGGAGAGTGAGATCGCCGTTGAGCGTCGAAGATCATCCAAGAAATTTTCATCGAGGTTGCGGGCCTTTGATTCTTGTTCTCTCTTTTCTCCTCCTGCTCCACCTCTCCTCCTCTGACTTCTGTTCCTTGTACTTTGCCTGCAGTTCGCATGGTCGGCGGCTCACCGAGGAGATCTCGGAGTGTCTGAGGCTGTTTCAGTCCTCCTCCCTCCCCCCTGCGCTCTCGGCTGCCGAGAAAGAGGCTCTGCTGCCTCCCCGCCTGGTCCTCTCGTTTGCTCCCTCACCCTTCTAAACCGAACCCAGGGAGAGCAAGCCGAGGAGGCAAGAGCACAAGGCGGAGAGCAGATGAAGGAGGTCTGTGACGCGCAAGAGGGAGGAAGCGGTCGCCCTCGAGTGAGTCGGTTGCTTGAGAAGAGGAGGGAGAAGAACCAAATCCTGCCCAAGTCACTCCTCATCCTCCGATCTCCCGAGTCATCTGCACCAGTGTCCCATCTTTTGACTCCTCGCACAAGTCCAGAGGCAGAGGAGGGAGGAGACGACGTCCTCACGCCTCTTGCTTGCGACAAGTACTTGCAGCAGAGAGCGAGGAGAGAGCGAGCGAAGAAAGAAGTTCTACACAAGACCATCTGCATCAGACAGCAACAGAGGGACAGCAACGCGCCTATGCTCCTCACCAAGCCTCAAAAAGCCACCAACATCACCAACACCTCCCTCTCCTCGTTCCTTACGTCTTCTTCTGTAGCTGCCACCACTCGTTCTCCTTCCAAGCCAGACAAGGCAGCAGAAGGCATGGTCTCCTCGAGCAAGGCAGCAGAAGGCATGGTCTCCTCGAGCAAGGCAGCAGAAGGCATGGTCTCCTCGAGCAAGGCAGCAGAAGGCATGGTCTCCTCGAGCAAGGCAGCAGAAGGCATGGTCTCCTCGAGCAAGGCAGCAGAAGGCATGGTCTCCTCGAGCAAGGCAGCAGAAGGCATGGTCTCCTCGAGCAAGGCAGCAGAAGGCATGGTCTCCTCGAACAAGGAGCAAGTGTTGGGATCAGACAAGGTGTGGGAGGTGAGAGGTCACGAGCAAGTGACAGACAGTCAGGTGAAGGCAGACGGGGACGTGAAGACCAAAACGAGACTTCTGCTGCTGAGCAGCGAAACCAACGAGCTCAACATGTGCCAACCGCAACTGAAGATCCGACAGAGTCGAGGAATGTGGAGGAGGAGGAGGAGGAGGAGGAGGAGGAGGAGGAGGAGGAGGAGGAGGAGGAGGAGGAGGAGGAGGAGGAGGAGGAGGAGGAGGAGGAGGAGGATGTATTTGTTGCGGTGGTGGATATGGGGTGGGGAGGGAGATGGGTGGGTGAGAAGAGGATTGCTTGGAATGGTGTAGAGTGGAGATGACGATTGAGAGCAGGTGAAGGCCTTCAGCCCATCCAGACGTTCAGCTCGTGGAAGCCTCTTCCTCCTCCTCCTACGTCTTCCTCGTCATGCTCGTGAGTCCTCTCTCACAGTAGGAAGAACCTGAGAGTTTCGAACAGAAGGGTGTTATCAAAGCAGGAGGAGGAAGAGGAGGTAAGTAAAAAACCCTCCTTGGGCCCTCCTCCTCGTTCCTCTCCTCTCCTCCTTCTGATTCACTGTTAACGTCAGAAGCAAGAATCGTCTTCCTCCTATCCAAGGCGTTGGCTGAGCTTTGACCGCCTCGAGACCTCCTGTAAGCCCAACTGATGCTTACTGCAGCAGCAGCTCATCCTCCTCGTCCTCCTCAACGCCTGCTACATCCCCTTCTCTCACTTCCCTTCCTCTGCCGTTGTCCTTTCTGTTTCCTCTCTCATCTGTTCCTCAGCAGCCTCACGCCAGATGGAGAAAACCCTCAAGAAAGTCGCGGCAGACAGTCCAGCGCTCGTTCGCCTTCCACGAGATAAGGCAACAACACATAAACATGCTCTTCCTACTCTTTCACTTCTCCCCCCCCTCCATGCTCTTCTCCTCAGCTCCGACTTTCTGTCCTGACATCTCCCTTCAGCTTCTCCAGCTGCTTGAAAATGCTGTCGAGCTGCAGATACCCCGGGGGTTCGTCGCCTCGCAGGCAGGAAGAGGGAGGAAGAGTGAGGAAGAGCTAGTGAAGAGAAAGGGGGGGGGGGGGGGGAGGCAAGATTGAGGAGAAGCAAGAAAATTTTCGGATGGAGGGGGAGCATACAAGAAGCAGGGGCAGGGGCAAGGGCGGGGGCAGGAGCAGGAGGGGTTTGATGGGGCTGCAGGACGATTCTCCCTCTTCTCTACTTCACGGTGTGCTTGTGCTCTGTTCCGGGAGCCTCCGGGTTACCTATCAGGAGAAGGATTGTACGGGTGGTAATCGAGAGGTGAGGACACAAGGAGGAGAAGCATGTGCTGAGCAGGCGTCAGTTGCTGGTGGCTGGTGATCTCATCAGCTCTCCTCTCGTCCTCTCCGGCTGCCCGCGAGTCTTGTGCGTCTCCTCTTTGCTTCTCCCATGCTCACGAGGCTCACAGAGGTGCTCGCGCTCTCCTTCCCCTCCTGTTTCGTTGGCATCTGCCCGAGCAGCTGGTGAGGACTTGGAGGAGGAGGGAAGAGGATGACAACCAGCTCAGGTAGCCGAGGAGAGCTCCTCACTTCTCCTCCTCTCCTCTCATGCCTGTCAGAAAGTTTTGTTTTCGGGTGAGCCATGCGGAGGGGAGAGTGGGGGAGTGACGGTATTACAAAGCCATTGAGGAAGAAGTGATGAAGCAAATCAACATGCTAAGGAGGTACGCTCTCTGCTCTCCTCCCCTCTGATGTCACCTCTCCCTCTGCCTCTCCCCTCTCCCCTCCTCACAACTTGCTAGGCTGCCGCTCTTCTCTCAGGTCGAGGAGTTTCACCTCAAGCAGCTCTTGTCCGGCTCTTCTCTCACTCTCGTCGAGGTCATCGCGACATTCAAGAGGCTTGAAAGTGACTTGAAGACCAGGATAATCGCGTCCTTGTGAGGGAAGAAGAGACCTCCTCTTCCTCCTCGTTTCTCTACGTCCTCGAGGTCTCTGCCTCATCTCTGCCTCCTCTTCTCACTCTCCTCAGGCTGGGCATGTCAAATTGAGCGTGACCTCCCACACCGCGAGAAAGAGGCAAGTCAATCCCTTGACCTCCCTCCTCCCTCCTCTCCTCTTCCACTCTCCTCCGCTCTCCTCTGTGCTCCTCTATGCTGTTCCATCCTCTCTTCTCGCTTCTTCCTGTCCCTCCTCTTGCTCTCTTCCTCTTCTCACGTCTCTGTCTCCCTCTGACTGTCTTCAGTTATCAAGTCCGAGCTGGCACCCTCGGCCTCGGTGCTTCGCTTCGCTTGTCTAGCCTGCTGCTAGACAGGTAAATTCCTCGTCCCTAGCTCCTGCTACTCGAGTGTTTCTCCTCCCCCCCCTCCTTTCCTGTTCTGCTTCTTCCTCCTTCTTTTGCGTAGCGTAACTGCCCCTTGCTAGTCCACAAGCGATGACAGTGAGGACGGAAGGAAGGTGAGGAGTCAACGGGAGGAGGGGAAGGAGAGGCTGTAGCTCAAGTTGACCTCCTCCTTTGTTTCAGTTGTCTGGTGCTGAGCTTGCGAGCGATGGAAGTGAAAGAAATCTTCAACGTTCACTCGTCGGGCGAGCATCAGGACCGATTGAAGTCAACCTGCCGAGAGGAAGGAGGAGGAGGAGGAGGAGGAGGAGGAGGAGGTGCTGACTGGGTCAACAGATGACAGCGAAAACAGAAGACTTGAAAAGTCTGGGAGGAGAGGTAGGGATTGAACCGCACAATCATGTCTGCCGGGCAGCTGCTCTGACTCCTCTGTATCTGTAGATTCTGAAAGCTCTTGAGCTCCTGGACGACCAGTCTTGTCCCGTCCTTGCCTCGCTCTCTCAGCTGACAGACTTGTACCACAAGGTCTCTTGCACTCGCCGCCCTCTCACTTCTCATGTGTCTGTTAGCTGGATGGCCTACACTCAGAGGACGGATCGAAAGTCTTCTCTCCGATTGAGCTGGCCAGGATTTTCACTTCCTCTACCTCTGTGATGCTTCTGTTTACGGTACCCTCCTCCCCCCTTCTCCTCCTCCTTAAATCTGCACGCCAGGAATTCAGGAACGATTTGAAGCTTGCGCTGAGCGAGGAGGAGATTGACATCCAACAATGCATCGTCCCGGTGATCCTTGTGCTCTTCCTGGTCTCCTATGCTCCGCTCTTATCACCCCTCTCTACGATCTTTTCTCTTCTCTTCTCCTCCTCTCTCATTCTCTTTCTACCGCTGCAGCTTCTCCGTCGTGTCTCGTGTATTTCTCGAGGATTTGCACAGATGGCGAGCTTTGCCGTCCAGTCTCTGTCTACTTTCGAGCGCAAGACGAGAGACGAGGAGGAGAAGCCTGAAGGAGCGAGGAAGAGGCCAAACTCCGAGGAGGCGAGCAGCTTTGAGAGCTTTCAGGAGTTAACTTGCTCGCTGCTGAATGGCTGGCCACAGCTGGTGAGAAAGTGATGGAGCAGATTGAGGAGGAGGAGGAGGAGGAGGTGGTGGTGGTGGTGGTGATGATGGTGGTGATGGTGGTGATGATGATGGTGGTGGTGGTGGAGGAGGAGGAGGAGGAGGAGGAGGCAGATGAGAAGAAGTTGGAGGGAGCTCAAACTTCTGCAGGCTCAGAGGGTGAAGCATCTCATCCCTTTGCTTGCGAGCTTTGCGACCAAGACCGAAGAAGGAGAGCACGACTTCTCAGCGGAGGTGAGGGACAGCAGAGCTTGAGGGAGGAGATGACAGAGAAGCAGGAGGAAGAGATAACGAGCTCGATCGAGACGAGCTACCAAGCACTGGAGGATGTGATTGCTATGCTAGAAGCCAAGCACGAGCTGAGGCAACTCAGCTTGACTAACGAAGCTCTGAGCAGAGGTTGACCCTCCCTCGCGCCTCTTTGACCTCCTCCTTCCCTCCGCTCTTTGACGCTGTGCAGGAGCTCAAGAGAAGGCGACCGACGCTTGCTGTAGTCACCGTCGAGTTCTTTTCAACGCGCGAGCAGAACTGGTATCCACAAGAGTCACTTGCGAAGACAAAGTTCAGTGCCAAGTTGTCCTTTGCAACGACTTGCTTTTCATCAAGCCAGGTACCTCCATCATTCTCCCTCCCTTGTTGCCCTGCTGAAGTTCTTCCAGCCTCTAGCTCGCTCTTTTCTTCTTTCACGAGCGACAATGCTTCGTGTCTCAGCCTAAGGAGGCTCCTTCTCGTCGGCCTCGGCGATCATAATCTGCTTGCAATCAGGTGCTTGTCTTCGCACCTGTCCTGTCCTGTCCTATCCCTCTCCTCTCCTCTCCTCTCCTCTCACGCGTCGCAGAGGCTTTTCCAGCCATCCCTATGCCATCTCCATTATCCGCGAGGAAGACGCCCTCCCCGAGCTAGTGAGACTTTCCATGCTCTCCTGCCCGCCCTCGCGTGACTGGATGTGTCAAGTTGTTAAGCTTCGCCGAGGAGGAGGACTTCTCCAAGTTGCTCTCGCTCTTCGCAGCCTGCAGACAGGAGGTGACTGCACGCTTGCTGCTGCTGCTGCTGCTGCTCGAGCTGGTGGTGGTGCTGGTGGTGAAGAGGATGACAGGCGGAGCAGCTTGCTAGCGACCCCTACTTGACGGAGTGACGGGAAGGGCAGGGGACAACAACAAGCGTAACGTTGGAGGCTCAACTACGATGGAAGCTCAACGTTAGAGACAGAGGTTTCACGTTAGAGAAAGAGGGTTAACGTTAGAGAAAGAGGTTTAACGTTAGAGATAGAGGTTTTAACGTCGATTGTCCTCTATGAACGACGAAGATATTTCCGTGAGCATGTCCGGTCATGGCTTTGAAGGATGAGCTTGACTAGCGGGTCGCTCAAGTTGAAGGAGACGAGATCGCGTCGATCTCACTGATCAAAACTTTCTGTCCGAGGTGATTGTTCCAGCTTCGCTGTAACGTCACGTAACGCACTCGCTCCTGCATGGCCGTCACTAGCCCCCCACTCCCTCCTCATGCCCGCACATGCGCATCCCCGTCGGGCCGTCGGAAGCCAAGCTGAACCTTAGAGCCAACCTGGATGGCGGTCAGAGAGGAGGCGAGGAGCCGCCGGAGCTCACAGGTCCCAGCATGTAGTCGCGCAGTGTCAGAGGGCTCCTGCCAGCTCATGTCAGTCAAGCTTGCAGCAGCACAGCAACACGAACATGCACTTGACGTCTGCTCCGTCGACAGACACCAGCTCTTCACCTGACATGCGGTGACTCCATGAGAGGAGCAGGATGCGGGGTATACCGATAACAATCTCGTTGCAGAGCTCAGCCGGGCTGCTCTCACGACTCAGTTCAGCCCCCCGCTTCTCACAGGAACAACCTGGATGGAGCGACGCCAGCGACTATCAGCTGCTGGCTCTTCTCTCGCGCAAGGAAGATGATGCCGACTCCGATCTTTGCTCCTGGCTTCGGGCCGCTGATTAGATGCCCTCCTGCTTCATTTTCATGGCTTCCAGCCTTAGGCCCTCCGCAACCTGATATAAGGATTAGAGTGCTACGTGTACTGCATAGCAAAAGCCGTACAGTTGGTGAGAGAAGCAATCCAATCCATGATGTCCATATCTTCAGCAATCTTGATTCACTCCTCGCTCTCCTCGCTCTCCTCGCTCTCCTCGCTCTCCTCGCTCTCCTCGCTCTCCTCGCTCTCCTCGCTCTCCTCGTCGTATCGCCATGTTGACACGAGGAGCCGGAATCGGGAGGATCCTCTGACCCCTCATCCCCACTCCGACATGACCTCTTCCCCCCTCTGACCACCCTCTGACCTCCTCCCTTTGAAAGTTTGAAAGTTTTGTTTCTTGCCCTGCAGACAGACTGAACATGCGACGAGATGGAGGGGGGGAAGGAGGAGCGAGGAGATGAGCTAGCTAAGGAGGAGCGAGGAGATGAGCTAGCTAAGGAGGAGCGAGGAGATGAAGGTCATGCTCGAGAAGACTCAGACGGGCACTTTTGAAGAAAGATTATAGTCTTGCATCACAAACTAACTCATGCTAACAACTCATGCATGTAACCTTTCATTGACTCCTGCTAGATGATGGAGGAGGCAAGGATCTGTGTCGCGTTTGCGATGAAGTGAGGTGAAGTGGATGGCCGAGCCATTTCCTTCTGGTTCGACCATTCGAGGATGGTTGGATGAGGATGAAGAAGGAGATGAAGAGACCGAACAGCATCAAGGCAAACCTGAGAGAAGAGACGTCCCTTCATCCCATCGTTCAAAGGATTCAGAAGAGATGGTAGTTGCGCTCTCTTTCATCGTGCGAGAGATTCAGAAGTGTCGGCAAGACCTTGGACGTACCCTGAGTGGGGCCCAACAAAACATGCGCGAACCTCTGCTTGACAAGAACAAGTTCAAGATCTCCAACAAAGGTCGAGCATCAAGCAATGACTTCAGCAGTCTGACCTCGCAGTCTCTTTCCCTCTTGTCGGAGTCGGCGAGGCGAGAGGCAGAACTTCGATACCAGCGGGACCAACTAGAATTGCAGCTGAGGGAGGCGACGACGAAGCTGGAGAAGATGAAAGTCGAACAACAGTTGCTGATCAGAGACTTTGACGCAGCTGTAGAGAACCTCCGTAGGATCTCTTGCGACTGCTGCGCTCTCTCTCTTCAAGTCGACACAACTTGTCGGGAGCATTCAGAATTAAAGAAGGTGAGGACGAGGGACGAGCAACGAGAGACGCCATGCGCTGATAACTTGGCAGCAACGTCAAGAAGTCTGCGCTCTCCTAACAAACGCTCCTCAGCAACTCAATGCTTGCAGCCTCAGCTTACAACAAGTCGTCAAGTCCATTTGGAGTCGCGAGGACGTTGGAATTGAAAGTGGCGAAACCGATAAGACCGGAGCTGGTCGAGACAAGAGCAGGGAGGTCAAGCTGGTCTTTAAGATGTGGAACTTGACGCGGATCTTTGACAAGAGGATTAAAAGTGTTGGTTACTCAGGCGCCTTGCGAGCTACAAGATCTTTGGTTCGGTCAGTTGTCTCGTTGTGGGGTGAGCTCGTAGTGATCTCACGCAAGGTAAGCGACAGACCTCACTCAACTGTTTTTCAATTCTTTCAGGTCCGCACGGCGTCTGAGTTGTGGCTGCAATCAAGGCTGAAGATGAAAAAGGTATTGAAGGCATACAGCGAGTATAGAAGAGCCACAGCCTCCTGCAGGAAGTTGAGAGAAGCGAGCGCCATCATCATCTCCTCTCGGCGTCGGAGCGCTCTCTCGCAAGCTTTCTCAGCATGGCGTGTGATCGTTCGCCACACCAGAAGGTCGCAAACTTTGCTTGCTATGATGGACTCGCGACAGAGAATTCGAAGAAAACGGCAAGTGTTGGGAGCCATGGCCCTGTCGTGTAATGACAGCCGACGGTCGTTCCTTGTGCTGGAAGATTGCTTCAGGAAAATTTCAGAAGTTCATCTGCGACAATGCAGCGTCTTGAAGTTGCTGTCGAGGTCAAGGAGGCGAAGGACCTTGTCTTATTGTCTCCTCGGTTGGATGAGATTGGCGGTGGAGCAGGGAGAGGAGGAGGAGGGAGAGTTGTCTCTCTGTGCCCCCCCCTGCTCATTCATCGACTCTTCTCTCGTTGGAGGTCTCGAGCTCTCAGCGCACGAGTCGCTTGTCAACAAGTCAAGAAGTGGTTGCTAGCCAGCGCTGCTGCTTCCCTTCCTCCCTCCATCCAACACCTGCAGCCCCTTTCCACTTCAACTCCTCTGCTTCCTCCTGCGACCCGCGAGTCTTCGTGGAGGCCGACGAGTGGTGGCTGGAGTCTGCTGAGTCGTACGCTGCTACTGGATCATCAGGCAGAGAGGAGGAGAGAGATGAGACCCGGCCAGTCGCAACGTGACACTGATGCGTGCAGGAGGATGGAAATTCTGACAAAAGTGGCTGAAGTTGTTGGAGCTAATCGAATGTTCTTCTCGTATATGCCACTGACGGCCTTTGAAAATGTAATCTACGTCACCTTGTCGTCTTATCTGGTTTGAATCATGTTTCTTGTGTTGTCTTGCAGGCTAGCGTTGCTCACACGTCGTCAACTACGCGCGTCCCGTCAGGCAGAGACTTTCTTCCTGTCAAGAGGTAGGCAGATCTTCCTTCTTCTCCTTGTTCGCCTTCTTCTTGTTCTCCTCCCCCTTCCGACTCGCTTCTGCCTCAGACTTTTTTTGCACTCTTGGCGCTGGGCGACGACGAAGAGGAGGAGACTGAGAAACCTGAGAGCCCACTGGTCCAGCAAGCGCAGGATCCTCGTGTTGGATGCGTTTTTCTCGCGTTGGTTCCTTGTATTCAAGGTCTCCTTCCCCTCTCCCCCACCACCACCACCACCTCCTCCTCCTCCTCCTTCCATGTCTCATGTTGCTTTCTTTCATCAGGCGCAGTCCTTCAGCAGGTCGAAGGAAACGTTGATGTTGAGGATGACGAGGTGGAGTTCGTCCGTAGCCTTCGAGAGCATGCTGCCGTTGCTACTTCGACCCAAGGAAGGAGGCGAAGACTCGACGAGGATCTCCAAGAGGTTCTTCTCCCTCCTCCATCACACCTGCAGGGCCTTCGACGGGTGGGATCAAACTCTCTCCCTCCTCTCCTCATCACACCTCGACCTCCTCCAACTGCGTGAGAGGATGGGGAGGACGCGCTCGTTGCAAGCGAGCGGCTGCTGGTTCATGTGGCAAGTAGGGAGGGGAGGGCGAGGGAGCAGGGACATGGAGCTGCGAGTCCAGGAGAAGAGGAGGCGCTGGGTCTCTCTTTGCCTCCTCGATGAGCGTCTGCAAGGAGGAGGGGGTGGCATGTTGGAGCTCGCTTCCTTGCCCTCCTCCTCTGCTGATTTCCGCTACCTGGCTCGCGGATTCCGAAAGCTTTCAAGGTTTGCCAGCCTGCGGAGCAAGGAGCGAGCACACCATCCTCGACTGCTGGTGAGCGTTTGAAGTTCTGTTTCGCCTCCTTCCTCACATGCGCACAGACGCGCGTCTTGAAGGAGCTGAGGAAGTTGGTCCAGCAAAGAAGAGCCGAGGGAGAAGTGAAGAGACGGGTCTTGTCCTGCTCCCTCGCAGCCTCTTGCCTCTTTGCAGCCTTTCTAGATTGGAAAATTGCTTTATGTACAAGGTGACTCCTCTCTTACAGCTCTCTTTCCCGTCCTGGAGGTCTGAACATCAGACATCACTTACACCAGGCGCTGCTTCCTCCTCGTCTCTTCGCTCCTGACCCCTCAGTCTCGCCGTAGCTCCTCCAAGGCCATCAACGCCTCTTTCGCTCTCATCGTCGACCTGGCGACCTGCTGAGTGAGCACACTGAGCAGAGGAGGACTGAGGAGACGAACGTGTGGTCTTGTCCGAGGCGACTCTGAAACACGTCGAAGGCATGCACCAGATGCTTCTCCATCTGCCTCAAGGGTCGGAGGGAGAACATCAGTAGAAGCGGCAGGACCTTCAAGAAGTCGCTTCCTTCATGCGCTCGCCTCCTGCCCTTCCCGAAGAACAACCTGCTCATCAACAATTTTAACGGACCTCCACCTCCACACCGTTGCAGGACAGCACCTGAACCAAAAGCTTCTCCTCCCTTTCGCTGCTCGTCGTTCTGCTGCACATGAGCAGGAGCAAGAGGGACAGCTGAGAGCTCGTACCCGCCTCCATCTCTCCTTTGGTCTGGTAGGCCAGGGCAAGGTTCCAATGGACATGAGCCACCTGCAAGAAGGTTCAGATCGCGGGCTGCAGGAGGGGCGGCAGACTTCAGGGTGGTCGTGACCGAAGTGCTTTGACACCTCGACATCCAGTTAGCTCAGTCGGCAACAAGTGACGTCAGCACTACCATGTCGAGAGCTTCCTTGTACCACTTGATGGCTTCGTCGATCTGTCCCAGGCCCTGAGGGGCATCAGCGGGCCGATAAAGTAGAGACATGCTACCTTCAGGCTGTTGGCGATGTTGTTCTTCGTCCATGCGACGCTCGGATCGTTCTGTGGTCTATCAAACGGGCTTAGATTTCTTTCACATTAACCTCGCCAAGGATTTGAAGCTTGTCTCCTAACGCGTACTTGAAGTGCCTCAGAGCCTCCTTGTACTGTCCGCTGTCGCGAAGGTCAAGCCAGGTCGCTTCCTTCCAACCTTACCGAATGTTGTACACATTTCCCTTGCAGTGCATGATGTTTGCAATATCGATGTCTGGATCCTCCCGTTCCAGCACTTTGAAAACCTCAAGCGCCTGGGAAACGTTGAGATCTCCATCTCCATCATTCCCTTGCCATATACCATGTTGTATTTCGCCAGGGCCTCCTTCGTGAGTTTGTCTATCTGGTTGTCTTGGAGCTGAGATACTTTCTGGGTCTTGGTCAGTAAAGATTCAGTCTTGGCATGCCCTCTACCTTCGGAATGTTTTCAGCTTGTAGCTCAAGGGCCTTGTCACACACATCTCACTGATTGAATCGATCGCATCTAACTCACCTGGCCAACGTGCATTACGGTCAAGGCCCAGTCTACTCGTTTCCCAGCCCCCCCTAGCTGATGCAAGGAGTCAATGTCCCTAAAAATGAAGGACGAGTACAAAGAGAAAGTTGCAAGAGACTTCACGTGCTGATAGATGGCGAGTGATTTCTCAAAAGTCTCCAGAGCCTGCAGATGACCTGGTCAGTAAACAGATGTGAGTGAATTTCATCGCTAACATCATAAGCGCGATCTAAACGAAGCAACGCAACCCCCATGAAGTCGATGGTCTTGAGAGTCAAATTAATGCTCGGTATGAATCATATGTGCGCTACCTGTGCAACCAATGGGTGAAGATCGCCAAGAGCTTTCAGTTGTATCTGATAGTTAGATCATCTAACGCCAAACAATTCAGCCGACAAACTAGTATACCTTCAAGCACTTGTCGTAAAACTATCAACCAGATTTCCCAAATGAATTTCAGCTTCGAGCGAAAGGCAAAAGACACGATGGACCTGCAGAGCCTCTGCATAACGTCCCTTCCTCATGAACTGAACTGCATTCTCTTGATAGCTCCTGCAGTGAAGTATGATGTGAGGCTACCTTCAAAGCAACCGCCGATGATGCTTACATCGCATCTGTCAACGCTGCCTCTGCTGTGACCGTCCGCCTTTGCGATACATCAGTTCAGAAGTGAGCACCAGTTGGGCATACTTGTGGGGGGCGCCCTGTGAATGAGAGTGCAACGCATGGCTAAACTGCTCCATGAATCTGTTGAGTGATGATCAGCGGGGGTACTTCAAACTGATTTAGCCCACTCGTTTGATTCATCTATGGAGCCATAGCCTGGCGACTGGATTCAAGTGTCAAAGGAATGCGAGCGAACAAGTTGTATACCATCTCCATCTCCATTTCGTAAGGTTGGAAGTCATTTTCTATCTCAATGAAATTCTGGAATTCTGTTCATGGCATCAAACATTGAAGGGTGAAGCACGCGCATGACCTGGAGGAAGGTCGCCCTGGAGGAACCTTTGAGCCTCTAAAGTTGATAAAAAGAGAACCTGAGAAAACGACTACTCAGCCATGCCCGTGTAGAATTGATTGAGACAACCCAATAATCTCTTGCTCCTTCACTGGCATCTCCATCCCCATCTCCACCACTAACATCATCTTCATCATCATCATCTCCATCTCCATCTCCATCTCCATCTCCATCTCCACAACTAACATCATCTCCATTGTCATCATTGTCATCATTGTCATCACCACCACCACCACTATCATCATCATCATCGCTCTCTTACCAGTATCGATACACCTGCAAATCGCATTTTCGCCCTTGCGACCCTAACCATATGGTTGCCCTCATCCCCGCTCACCAGAGTGAGACCGATGACTGATGACTAAAACTTCTGGCTCAAAGTTAACTGATATATTTACTTAAAACTCTCTCATTTTGACTCGCGACTTTTCATTTCTGAGAAGGATTCGTGGAGGGGGTGGGGGTAGTCTAAGGAGGGGTTCATGGACTGCAATGTTTTGGGAAAAGGTGGGTGAGGTGGTATCAATATCGGGGTCTGCACGACGATGAGGAGTGTAAAAACCCAGCAAATGCGACTTGGAGAGGCTGAGGCGCGAGGAAAGAGGAAGAGGAAGAGGAAGGGGAAGGGAGACAGACAGGAAGAGGAAGAGAGGTAGGGAGAGCGAGGGAGACAGACAGGAAGAGGAAGAGAGGTAGGGAGAGCGAGGGAGACAGACAGGAAGAGGAAGATGAAGGTAGGAAGGGAGCGAGGGAGACAGACAGACAGGAAGAGGAAGGGAGAGCGAGGGAGACAGACAGGAAGAGGAAGATGAAGGTAGGAAGGGAGCGAGGGAGACAGACAGGAAGAGGAAGAGAGGTAGGGAGAGCGAGGGAGACAGACAGGAAGAGGAAGATGAAGGGAGGAAGGGAGCGAGGGAGACAGACAGACTGGAAGATGAAGGGAGGAAGGGAGCGAGGGAGACAGACAGGAAGGGGAAGGCGAAGTATTGGATAACAAGACTTGAAGGGACAGGGACAGACGGTCAGAGGACCGATGGCCGCTTGTGGCTGACGAGGAACGTACCACAGGATGGGTGAGCCTAAGAAGGAGACCGTTCAGAAATGGACAAGCCAACAAGTCTCTCAGTGGATCTTTGACAGAGATCCCGAGTTCCAAAACATGTTAGTAGATGTGTTGAGTTGTGCTTTCACGGTTCTGATTCAGTTTGTTTGCAATCACAAACTTGATTCCTTTTCTTCGCATGATCCCAGTGCCGATGCCTTCAACTATCACAACATCACCGGCGAAATTCTTCTTGAGCTCAAGGAGTCAGATTTCATGAAGATCGTACACGATAGAGTGAGGTGCAAGGAGTCGTTGAGTCGAGCTGACGTAGTTGGTAGCACGTGACGATGAAGCAAGAGGCCGAGTTTCTGGAGCACCTCTCTAAGCTGCAACGATACTTCAAGAAACCTAAGACTCGGCAGCGCGCAAGGCGGGGAGTGAGTGAATGCGTCATTGATGGATCGACTGTTGATGACGTGACTCAGGTCCCTTCGCTTCCGATGCTTCTCGTCAACGCCATCACTTTTCGATTTGCCGACACCAGCGAGGGGAAGGTAACGCCTGCTGCACGTGCTCATGACTGTTACTGACAATGGCGCAGGATGTGGCTGGGATGAAGGTTGTTGAAAGCCCTTTCTAGTGTCGTCGCTGATCGGAGTGCAACCTCACAGGAGGAGATTGTTTCAGCCCATGGAAGTGTTGCTATTGTCTCGACCTTGCTGTGGGCGATTGCTTGGGTGCGGGGACTGGAGTCTGTTGACCTGCTTTTGAAATTCTTGGCAGAACATCTTCTATGGTTCAGCATACTCGGTTTTCTGCAACACAGATGCGAGTAAGCGGCAGAAGCTTCTCGTGCACGTGGTTCATCTCACGTCTCTTAGATCCTCTCTGCTTCAAGTCGGGCGGTTTCGGCCTCGATGTAGCCTCACTCTCTTTGCTCCCCGCGATTTAGCCTCCCCCTCACGTTGTACTTTGGTAGGGACGAGCTCTGGCAGTTTTCTACGCGTTTGCTGGGATGTGCTCGGTAGCTCCTGTATCTTGTTTCTTGTCTAAGTTTCCCGGCTGTTCAGATCTGTTTGGTTCTGTCCACGATCTTTGCCGTAGTTCAGATCATCATGATCTACGAGATGAGCGATGACGTGGAGCTAGAGGAGTTCCTCGATCTGATCGACCAGTAGACGTTGACAGTCGCAGGGCTCTACTGAGTTCGCTGCAGGGATGTTCAGCTGCCCGGTATGTTCCTCGTCGCTGGGATTCTTCTCATCACTGTCCCCGTCACCAGGTGCTCCTGTCTCTTCTTCTTTGTGACTCTCCTCAACTTTTTCTCGGTGCACGTGCAGCTACGTGATCATGAACTCCATGGTGAGTGGGCGATTCCAAGTCGCGCAACTCTGACATATCCTATCAGTTTGGCGTGTACCAAACAACCAAACTATACAGAGACATCCATGACAACAAGTTGTTGCCGGATGATGTCAAGAACGAATCAAAGTTCTACATTGCCATGTCAGTAACCCGCCAATGAGATCCAAGGTTAACCCAGGCTGCCTGCAGGAGCTGGATTACCATCCTTGGCATTGTCTTGCCCTCGTCGTTCAATACTCTCATTCTTATCCCGGAGTACGTGGGGAACCTCTACAAGGTGCGTGTCTCTCTCGCTTGCGCTAGTCGCCAACCTCAGCAACAGTCGAAGTTGAAGTCCGTGGAAGACCTCAAGGACCTCGACAAATCGTTCTTCACTCCGAAACTCGAGTAGCCGATGGGCTGAGCTACTCTTCCTACTGCGGGGGTGAAGAGAGCAGGAGCAAGATAGAGTTCGATCTTGGTTGTATGAGAAACTCCCGATTGCATTCCCACACTCCACCTCCACACAGATGGTGATTACTTCGTTTCTAACTCAGTGGCATACGCGATTGCTCGGTCGCACCACTCCGTTCTCCTGTGCTTTCCCCGGCACTCGCGCAAGATCGACAAGAAGCTCTTTGGTGAGATCTCCGCGGCTCGGAAGACAGCAGGCAGGACGCCTTCCTGCACCTCCTGGTTGGCATCGTCCAGGTGAACGACGAGACCTCGCACGAGATACTCGAACTGCGTGCTGTCATAACCGCGAGGAACGGAAGGAAGAAATTCAGCGAAAGCCTTGGCGGCTTCGATTCGGATCCTATCGTTGCTGTCATCCATTCGCTTCAGCAGCTCGATGTACATCGTTCGGATCTGTAGAGGGGAGCATGAGGACGAGAGAAAAGTATAACAAGGCTGCACCTGCTCGGTGTCGAGACGGTTCCGGATCATGACGAAGAGCTCGCTCAGAGCTCCGCAGGTGATGAAGCGAATCTCAGCGTCCTCGTCGTCTAGGCAGGACTTCATGATCGAGTCCAGCTGTCCCGGCTTGAAGCCTTCCCCCAGCTCCTTCATCACCTGCTCAGCATTGCAGATGCGACGGCTCAGCATGACCCTCAAGCATGACATGCCGCCCTTCCGTAGCGCACACGCCACCTTGCCAGCCCTCCACACGCACACAGGCAGGACTACCTGTGACAGCATCTCCCCGCCATGTCTGCGCAATGTGTCTAAGAGAGCTTCTTGTTTGAGCAGGTCGTCGAGAAGGAGGAGGAGGATGGATCGGACGTCCGCATCCTTCTGAGCGTCTGCGCCCACGGCAAAGATGCGGATGCAAGTCGAGAAGCAGGGTGCGAGGCATGTCCCTGCCCGCCTGCTCAAAGATTCAAAGATGTACAAGTTGTAGGAGTCTCTCCGCCATTGAGGTGCTTCCTCGAACAAATTATTTACAATGTCCTCGGTCTCCATGCGGAACAGGAAGTCATCTCCGCCCTGCCCCTCGAGCTCCCCAAGGATACGCGACAACTTGAGAAGTGAGTCGAGGGCACGAGAAGCGATCGATTCTGATGACTTGAGGCTGTGCAGGCGGAGCAGCGACTTCATGAGTTTCTGGCGGACGGGCGAGCATTGACCTCCGGAGTTGTTGATACACGCCTCGAGGATGCGATAGACATGCACCTGATAGTCTGCTGTATCCGGCAGGGAGAGCTCTAGCTCCGACACCACAGTGCAGATGCTGCTAACAAACGGGCCAACCTGCCCTTCCCTGCAGCCTTCCAGCAAGGTACCAAGGACAGCTGCCCAATTCTTCTTGGAGCTTACAGAGATACTCGAGCTCGTCAGATTTGCCTCAACCACACCGATGAAAACATCTGCGGGGGTAAACGCTCCAGTCAGCCTTATGCAGGTCAGGATTGTTTGTGCCACACTGTCTTCCTCGTCCATGCAAGAGCGCGAGAATGCGGTGAGCAGAGCCTCTGCATGCTTCGTGATACTCCTCTCTGCGTAGATCAACACATTTACGAGAGTGACAGATGCCTTCTGTCTTGCGCCAGCTGTCCAGTCAGCCAGCTCGCCCAGCAACTGCAGTAGGATCGACTTGAGATGTGTCGTTATGAGCAGGCGAGCGCCCTTGCCTGGACGGCCATGGAACGCCTTGGGATACAGTGAAAGCACGGCATCATCGAATTCATCCTCCTCTTGCATACAGTCTTTCGCTTCACACTTTCCCTCCAAGGCATTCCCCACCTCCTCCATCAGGTCGACTGAGAGCTGCTGCACTTGCTCGATCTCATCGGCAGCGCCATGCAACAGAATGGGGAGGATCCCAGGAGCTTCGAGGACGTCCAAGCATTTCAACCACACTGCAGCAATCTTGAGCACTTCTTCTCGCAGCTGCTTCGATCTATCGGTATTGAACTTGGCAATATTCGGCAAGACATCCTTGAGAATGGAACAGTCGTGGGTGACGAGGGAACCAACTGCTTGCAAGCTCGCAACGCGAACTTTCTGCTGCTGGTGCGAGAAATTTTGTTGCAAAGCTTTGTTGATTGTGGGGATGTGTTCTTTCATGCCAGGTACCCAACACTGATCACAAATCAGCACAACAGTATCAGCCACTAACTTCTTGGCATCAGGAAACTTGTCTGAACATGACTTTTCCAAGATCAGTGCAACTTCGGGTATCGCATCTTGTAGCCGATCTTGGCTTAGTTTGATGAGGCTGTTTGTCAGCACCAGCAGCTCTAATCGAACCTCTTCCGACTCTTCCTGCTGAGGGAAACATCCGATCCTTTCTCGAACATGCTCCAACGTCTCCACCACGTACTTCCCTGCATCCTTCAGCAAGGGAAACAGAGCATTCAGAATGTTTGCAGAAATTTCACGACACTTTTCAGCTTGATCTTTGAGGCATCTCAGCAGATGAGGGTGCAGCAACTCAAAGTCTTTCCCCAGGGCTTCGCCAGTCCAACCACTTGAGGAACTCAGGTTTTGTGACTCCTTTAGAATCTTCTCGAGGGCTCGTTTCCTCGTGCTTCTGTCAGGATCAGAAAGACAATTCAGGTCGCGCTGGGTGAAAAGGAGGTGATCGGCCGTAGACATGTCCGGGTAAAAATATGCTCCTGACGGCCAGCAGTTTGATAGACCCCTTTGACGCAGCAGCAACCAACTCCCAGCTCAATCTGAAGGGGAAACGTGAGAAAAAATAAAGTTTACGAGCTTAAAAGGTGAACGAAGTGAGAAGGGACTCTACAGAGATCCGCGAGGAATGCAACGCAAATACATGAAAAAGAATCCCTTTCTTTTGTGAGATGGAGGAGCGGTCAAAGAAGAGGTGAGAGATGAGGAAGATGAGGACGACGATGAGGACGATGGCGATGAGAGGAGCAATGAAGGATCAGGACGAGGGGAGGGAGGGAGGGAGAGGCACGTTGAGCCAGCATGCACATCAGCACGCGTCACATGGGCTGCATAGCGGGCCACAAGGCGGGCCTGAGGCGGGCCCAACGCACACAAGGGGAACACATCTGGAACATATTAGAAGGATCTCCCAGATCTGTAACAGATATAGAACACTTGCATAGATCTAGAACAAAAGGGTCTGTGCCGGACGCCATGGCATGGGCGAGGGGGTTCAGGGAGGACGTGGGGCGGATGCTGCTGCGCGCGCATGAGGGGACGAGGCCTGGCGCGATGCTGGTTCAGATCATGCTTCTAGAGCCGTCGATGAAGCTGGCAGAGCTGGCTCGTCACGTGATGGAAGAGGTCGAGGGGTCAGGGCCTGCCTTTGAAGTCTGCCTCCGTATCCAACTCGCGCCCACCAACGTCCAACGATGCGTGAGAGACCTGACGCTGGGATGAAGGACACTTGATGGTCTTTTGTAGGTCTTTGACTTGATCTCATCGAGATGGGATGAGTTGTCTCTCTCGTTGCAAAGGTGATCTCGGATTGCTAAGACCCTCTAACGCTGATTTCAATTGCACAATAGTTCTTTGGTGTCTAAACTGAAGGTCTCACTTCTTGCCTTGATCGAAGAATGATGTTGACTGGGTGTACTGTGAGGAACAGAGATATCTACGGGATCCAGTGGTCATATGCATGTTCGAAAAGGTTGCCGACGAGTTTCAAGCATCTCATGGGAGGTGCGAATACACTCGCAAACGAGAGGTGAACCCTCTGCTCTCATCCACGTGGATTGTTTTAGACATCAAGACTGATACTTGACAAGGAGAATGTCGATGCCATCGCCAAGGCCTTCTATGACTTCCACGTTAAGCTGATGCGAGCATGCGTGTTACACCCCCCGAGGCCTGCGAAACTAGGAGGAACAGCGAAGACAGCTGAGAGAAGCGGGAGAGAGACATGTAGTGGCTCAGAAACAGACATGCGAGAGAAAGCATCGCCAAACGTGACTCCCCACAAGCGCAAAAGAGAAGCAGCTTCACTCGAAGAGAGAGAAGAGAAACAGCAGTCTAACCGGGGCACCTCAACAAGTGATGCGGTTTGATCCTCTCCTCTCCTCTCTTGCACACTGATGAATGTTGCTCTCAGGAGCTTCTCAGTGATAAAGAGACGCTGTCCCTCCAACATCTCAAGGTCCGCGAGTCCTTGACTGTCCGGGGACTTGACTGCTCTGAGTAGACGGCGTTACGAGCATTGAAACCGCACGCCAAGAGTTCGGATCTCCCGCAAGCATTGAAAGATGTAATCCTTTCAAGTCATAGGGATTGGATTGTTACTCATGTATGTGCCAGGTGGTCAAGATGGAACGTGCAGAGCAAGCCTGGAATTCTCTCAAAATGGTTGGGGATGAAAGCTTGCTCGGCCTTGGAAGACTTTACATTAACTTGTTCATGATCAGGAGGAGTTGGGAGATGATCTTTTCTGTCTAGTCTCTGATCATATTCTCGATGACTCTTCGGGACACAGAGAGGTTTCACCTGCTCCAATGCTGACAGGCTGCTGAGCTCACCTCATGTTGAAAGGCCTCCTGCTACATGAGAAACGTCTTTGTGCCAAGAATCAAGCTTCTCGCTCAGCCCGCGTCTCGAGTTCTTCTGGGCACCGTAAGCTTTGGCTGGTGGACCTCTCATCCCCCCCCCTTACGATCTGCTGCATGCCAGATCATGAACGCTGTGACGAGGCATTCCCATGCTGCAAGGGACAGCTTTGTCCTCCCTCTGCTTGAACATCCAGACCTAGGTGTAAGTGGTGCTCGGATCACTGAGTTTGATCAGCAACCACAGGGACCGCACAGATCGAAGTGCTCACACGCGTGATCAAAGAGGGTTTCACGGCACAGACTCAACTTGCTCTTCTCGATGCGCTGCTGGGTATCAAGCGTGTGGGCAAGATTCTGACGTCTTTCTGATTTCTTTTCAGATGTCGTCGACATGAAACGAGGATCACTCACAGATGCTGCACAGCCTCATCCGTTTCAACATGCTCACGTCGCGATCGTGCACTCCATCCTCCTACTCAAGCCTCCGATCCCTCAAGTCTCTCTGGGAAAACTCGTTATTGTGAGAGCTCCGTTACTGGTGGGACGAGCAAAGAGTGACGAAAGCGTTCCAGATGCTGGTGGAGCTCGTTCGAAGGGAGAGAGACTGCAATGCTCCCGTCATGTTGCAATCACTCAAGTTCTCCAATTTGGTGCCCCTCGTTGAGCGTTGACGGCTCCTCTCACTTGTTTCGCTCAGGTTCTCGCTATCGTCTCTAAGTATGGCAGCGAGGTGACGGCGAGCATCGACAACCTTGACGAGGTCAGCCCAGCGCCTGTCGAGTGTGGATGTGACGCAAAGTAGGTCGCCGACTTGCTGTGCACTACCTTGAAGAAGCCAATCAAGAGCATGATCTCCCGAATCAAGTCCAGGTAGAGCGAGACGGCGAGGAGCAGTCGAAAGACAGAGGTACGGAGATCTTGGAGCACGAGCAGTGAAGCAAAAAGGAACACGAGCCGGTTGAAAGCGTACCATTGTATAATATTATCAACAGCAGGAATGTATTTCGCACGAGAGTGCACGGGAATAGGATGGAGTCCTATCTCTCTGAGGCCTTGTGTTTCTTCGGGGGTGCGGTGTGAACGGTGAGGGTGAGAGGGTCATCGGGTCAGGGAGGAAGGATGCGGTCTCAGCACAGAAGATCATGACCTGTTCCTGCTGCTATGCCGCCTTGTATCGCACCATCGTTCCCAGTGCCTGTATGAGGGGCGTTTGGGGGTCGTATCACACTACCCCTAGCTCACACTTGACCCCTCAGAAACAACTAAACACCACGGGTACCATACCATCACTATCGACCCTTACCACCCCCCACCATCAACAGACGGATCTTGAACTACCCTACCCGCGTGTTTCCCTACCCCCTCCATTTATACCAAATCGTTTGGTACCCTACCCATTAAATTATCACCCCCCTGAGGATGAACCCCACATGCCTCCAGGATCTCCTACCCACCCGTTGCAATGAATTTGACCCTACCCTTTCAATTTTTTACCCCAGCAAGGTGTAACCCCCCTCACGACATCCTCACCTGAAATCGAGAAGTGCCTCATATCATGTACCGGTGGTTTATCCACCCCACCCCCTTTCTTTTCACCCCCACCCCACTGTTTGAACCATCCACTCCATCTGCCGTGCTGCCACCAGCTGCTACGTACACCCCACCCACATCTTTCCCTTCTCAGTACCCTACCACTAACTGTACACCCTGGAATCCTAAGCTTAACCCCCTTTGATGAGCAGGGACCCCTTTCCACATTCAAACACCCCTCCTTAAGTCTGATTTTTGTAGCCCAGCCTTGTCTACAATCCGTCTATTTTTGCAAACAGTAGGGGTTCTAGATCACCCCCACCCCGTTCACCAATACCCCCACCCCCCAGCTTGAAGCGGCGCCATGACCCTCGTCGACCCGCACACCGGCGCCCGCGCCCGCATGTCCAAGACGGAAGGAGACGTGGAGATGGGGGGCAGCGCTAGCGCCCTCCTGCTCTCTGAGCCCAAGTACCGCAAGCCTCGTCCAGGATCCCTCCAGGTGTCCACCTCCTCTCCGCCCTCCTCTCCTCTGTTTTTTCCTCTGCCGTTCTTGTTCTGCTGTGTGGTCGAGGAGACACTGCGGTACCAGAAAGAGTTTTCTGAGTGTGCGAGACGATTTTCTGTTAAAGACGAAGACTGTGAAGTGATGTGAAAAGATGTGAAGCTATGCACGTTTTCAAGATAGGTCCTGACATGCTTCCGCAGGTCAGCGGAACAGTCCTCACCATCGTTTGTGTTCCGCTTTGCTTGGCGCTGCTTTTCCTCGGGCTACAAACCAACACCGTTGCCCTAATGGTGTTTGTAGTTACTTGTGCCAGTCTCTACTTCGCCTATCAGATGGCATTGAACATCCTGGCAATTAACATCGCGGCGGATCAAGAGAACATGTTTCTTGTCTCCGAACCCATCAGAGAAGGCGCGGAAGGTTTTTTCAGGACTCAGTATGGAACCATATCGCGATTCTCTGTGGCCTTGTTCATCTGCATTATCATCATCTATTCGTTCAGGCAGTTGACACCTGAGCAAGAGCAGGCTGGTATCAGCAAGGGGCTGCTAGCTACAATTACAGGCATCTCATTTTTGCTCGGAGCGTTCTGTTCTGGAATCGCTGGGTACTCGGGCATGTGGGTGTCTGTGCGTGCAAATATTCGAGTGGCAGGTGAAGCTCGAAAATCAATGCGAGCTGCCTTGTATGTCGCTTTGCGAGCTGGAGGATTCGCCGCGCTGGTGGTCGTTGGGCTGACGGTCATGGGCGTGACCTTCCTGTTCTGCGTATGCCATGCCCTGCTCGGTGCTGGGAGCGGAGGATCGATGAAGTCAACAGACATTCCTATGTTGCTGGTCGGATATGGGTTCGGAGCCTCCTTCGTTGCCTTGTTCGCTCAGCTTGGCGGTGGAATCTACACCAAGGCTGCAGATGTTGGTGCTGACCTTGTCGGGAAAATAGAATCCGATATTCCAGAAGATGACCCAAGGAACCCAGCAGTGATCGCAGACCTAGTGGGAGACAACGTGGGTGACTGTGCTGCTCGTGGCGCTGATCTCTTCGAGAGTATTGCAGCTGAGATCATCAGCGCGATGATCTTGGGTGCAAGCATGGCCAAGAAAGCTAACCTAACGTCGTCAGAAACCATTGGCTTCATGATGTTCCCATTGGTTGTTCACTGTATGGACCTTGTAGTCAGCGGAATTGGAATTATTTCAGTGAGCAGGGATGCCCCAATCAGCAACATCTTGGAGGATCCGCTTGAAGTCATGAAGAAAGGGTACAAGGTATCCCTGGTACTTGCCGTCATTGGATTTGGAATTGCTTGCAACACGATGCTTTCAATCTCATCTGCACCGAGTGCATGGATTTATTTCTATGGCTGTGGTCTGATTGGAGTCGGGTCTGCCTATTTGTTTGTATGGATTTCACAATACTACACCGATTACAAATACCGCCCTGTGCGGCAGCTCGCAGAATCGAGTACGACGGGTCATGGTACGAATGTCATTGCAGGAGTCGCTCTTGGAATGGAGTCGACGGCGATGCCAGTAATAGTCATCAGTGTCGCCATCGTTTCCGCTTACTGGTGTGGAAGAATGTCGGGACTCGTGGATGCCAATGGGATTCCCTGTGGAGGTCTGTTTGGAACAGCCGTTGCAACCATGGGTATGCTCTCTACAGCAGCTTATGTGCTCGCCATGGATATCTTTGGTCCCATTGCAGACAATGCAGGAGGGATTGTTGAGATGAGTTCGCAGCCAGCGAATGTCAGGGAGGTTACTGACTCCCTTGATGCGGTTGGAAACACCACAAAGGCTACGACCAAAGGTTTCGCCATCGGGTCTGCCGCGCTGGCATCATTCTTGTTGTTTAGTGCCTACATGGATGAGGTTTCGGCGTTTACAGCCAAACCATTCAATCACGTCGACATTGCTGTCCCCGAAGTTTTTGTTGGAGGTTTGCTTGGCTCGATGTTGGTCTACCTCTTCAGCGCGTGGGCATGCAAAGCTGTTGGCAAATCAGCCCAGGAGGTTGTCAAGGAAGTGAGAAGGCAGTTTGAGGAGAGGCCTGGAATCATGACGTATCAGGACAAGCCTGACTATGACCGCTGCGTCTCCATTGTTGCCAAATCTGCATTGCGTGAGATGACGGCTCCCGGCCTTTTAGCTGTTTCAATGCCCATCATCGTAGGAGTCACATTCAGATATGTGGGTTTGCTAACGAAGCAAACGATGCTGGGGCCTCAGGTTGTCGCGGGTTTCCTCATGTTCGCGACGGTTGCGGGGATCCTGATGGCTCTTTTCCTCAATACAGCTGGAGGCGCGTGGGACAACGCAAAGAAGTACGTGGAGACAGGAGCGTATGGTGGGAAAGGTTCCGAGACGCACAAAGCAGCTGTAACAGGAGACACTGTGGGCGACCCATTCAAGGACACGGCCGGGCCATCAATTCACGTGCTGATCAAGATGCTGGCGACCATTACGCTAGTGATGGCTCCCCTCTTTCTTGACTAACTTTGGCCTCCCCCCCTGTGAGGTTCCCGTCTGTGAATATGCGCGAGACTTCCTCTGCTTGCGATGTTTGTATATTGTCACGAATAAAAGCGGATTGTCGATGACCAGACTTTTGCTCTAGTTCCATTGCGGCCCACACACACATGCGGCGCTCGTTGGGTGGCGTCGGTTCAACCAGCAGCACGGGCAGACGCCACTGCATGCACAGAGTTGGAACCTCGAGGGTCGCAGGAGAATCAAGTTTTACCTCCTCATGCCTCGCATGCTCCGCGTCCACAGGATCAGGCCGTACCGCTTGCCGCCGGTCACAGGAAGCACCTCGTGCAGCTTGACCGCGTCATGCCAGCAGGCGACACACGAGTCAACGCACCTGCCGTCCGACGTGCAGCACAGCCCAACCCGGTGCGGGAGCCTTGAAGGACCCGAGGGTTTTCAGCTCCTCGCCTGAGCCACGGCGGCCATGGAAGACGAGCTCTCCTCCTTGGTAGTCGCTGCCTGCCACATCAGCACAGCGGAGGCTGAGAAGAGACCGCAGACCTCTGAAGACAGACGTTGAGGGTGATCTCCGAGTCGTCGGTATGCGACACAAGGTGGTTCCTCCTCGGACGGAATTCAGTCCCTGCTTGTCCTGGCTGTCTCTGCTTGTCTGGCATGGCAAGTAGACGTCAGGTATCCATCGCATGCAGGTAGTAGGACGTACCGCCCTCTCCGCCGTCCTGCTGGTCGATCACGTCCTTGGGAGCGTATCCCACGATGTAGCCGTGCCTCCAGTCAAGAGTCTCGCCTTCCAGCTCGTCCTCGAATAGAGCTTCTGCCTGCCACTCCCGTGAGCCCATGAGGCGACAGCGCAAGCAGCACCAGCGGAGAGACAACTTGCCTCAGGAGCATATCGTTGATCCACCTGTGCGTCCCAATGTTTAAGAAATGCGCTCCCTTCACTCTCTTCTCCGTTGCCCTACTCCCTTTCCTCCTCCTCTCTCCAATCTCACCCTCTTCTCCTCTCTCCTCTCCTCTCTCACCCTCTTCTCCTCTCTTCTCTCTCACCCAAGCTTCATCATGTCTAGTACGGCTGGTCTCTCGCTGTCGAACTTGCCCTCCAGTTTCTCCTGGCGCGTGAAGGCAGCAAAGTCGTTGGCGCACGAGACGATCTGTTGGCAGAGCGAAGGCTGGAGGAGAGGAAACGAGTAGACTCCGTCCGCCTCCTCGCTCAAGATTTTATTCAGCTTCCCAAGTCGCAGTTTCCCATCCCCGTCGATCAGCTCCAAGAATCGCTTGTCCCAAATGTCCTGTGGGGCTGGGGCCGTTGCAAGCCTGCAAAGGAAAGAGGAAGAGGAGAGCAACTTTTGCCGCAGCTTCTCCTTCTCCTCCACCACCTTGTCGAGCTGAGCTCGCAGCTTCATCTCCAACTCCTCGATGTCGCTCATCTGCCATCGCTGCAGGTAGTTGGGATAATGGTCGAGCCCGAACGTCGCGTGCATCACCATGGCCGCGTCGCTCGCCCTGGCCCCCACGCAGACCTTCTCGTTGATGGCCCCGCATCCCCCTTCGCTTCCTCTCAGCACCTCCTGTGCCTTCAAGCCTCCTCCTCCTCCTCCCCCTTCCCCCCCCCCCAACATCGCTGCCACCATCCACCAGAACCAGCCCATGTCACAGGGGCGCAACAAACTTGAAGGTCTTTTTAACCTTTACAAGATCTCGACGTGGTAGAGTTACGCTCAGATCAATACAAGGCGACGAGACTGAAAACTGAAGGAAGAGAGAAGTGAAGGGAAGGAGAGGAAGAGAGAAGTGAAGGGAAGGAGAGGAAGAGAGAAGTGAAGGGAAGGAGAGGAAGAGAGAAGTGAAGGGAAGGAGAGGAAGAGAGAAGTGAAGGGAAGGAGAGGAAGAGAGAAGTGAAGGGAAGGAGAGGAAGAGAGAAGTGAAGGGAAGGAGAGGAAGAGAGAAGTGAAGGGAAGGAGAGGAAGAGAGAAGTGAAGGGAAGGAGAGGAACAGAGAAGTGAAGGGAAGGTGAAGGAAGAAATTGAGTTTAGAGGCCATGAGAAGGACCAACGGAGGACGGAGGCAGGGCAGCAGCAGGGAGTTTTTGTTGGAGTCTTCAATGCGATTAACAAGCTGCCCTTAGAGGGTACCGCAGAAGCAGACGCACTTCTTGTCTTTGCCGTCTTGGTCTCCGAGGATGTTTTTGATCTTCTTGGTCAGCAGCGGGAGGCTGCCCACGCGCACCGGGTTGTTGTTCTTGCAGAAGCACCTGCAGCACGAGCTCAGCTCACCGCCAGTAGAGGTCAGAGATAGGAACAATCAGGGAGCTGGGAAGTGGAGCTGAGAGCAGGGAATGAGCTGGACTTACTTGTTGCTGCTGTTGCATGTGCACTGCTTGACGCAGCCGCACGTGTAGCTGGTGGCATCACCACCTTTCGGGTTGATCACTTTGATGTCCTGCAGCGGCTCCCACTTGGTTGACACGACGTCTGACGCTGTGCCTATTGGCGCCATCGCCCAGTCCGAACCTGAAGGAGCGTGAGGAGAGGAGAGGAGAGGAGAGGAGAGGGGAGGGGAGGGGAGGGGAGGGGAGGGGAGGGGAGGGGAAGAGAGGAGAGGAGAGGAGAGGGGAGGAGAGGGGAGGAGAGGAGAGGGAGAGGACAGGAGGATTGGGTTGAGGAATGATAGGAGGCGAGACGCAAGACTGAGAAAGAGACCTCCGTCGTTGCAGTACTTGTTGGTTGGGTTCTGACTGCACCACATTTGAGCGCTATCATACGCGAAGCAGCTGCAAGAGGCTCAGAAGTGACTTTGATTGACCTCCCCCTCACAAGTTGTTTGAGTCTCGGAAGCGGCAGCCATTTGCCGGGCCCTCGAGGGACTGCTCGCAGTCGGCAGACCTGCAGCCAGTCGTCAGTCTTCCCCCATACCTCCTCTGTCATCGTCACACATGCAGTTAGCCATCATGGACATTTGCTCCGCTGCGACACTGATTTGCCTGGACTGACGTCACGATATCGACAAGGTGACAGAAGAAATTTCTCACTTTTCGTCACGATACTTCGCGCACTTATCATTCAGTATCGATTTCCTGGTCCTCATCTCAGCCACCTCCAACGCCTTCGCTCCCGCATGCTCACATCGGATTGTTATCCTTGAAGAGTGAAACAAGCGCAGGCGGGAATGCATCGTTATTTGGTGGTGGTGGTGGTGGTGGTGGTGGTGGTGGAGCACCCGAAGAGCTAGCGCTCTCCGGCATCTTCATCCCGTAGCACACAAGCTTGCTCCATGGCTTTCCCTTGTTCCGGTTCCTGCGGCTTCACGTCAAAACTATCAATGGCATATCCCGTGTACGCACCCAGTGCACTTGCTGCCGTGAGTAAGGGAGCCCCAGTTCTGCCACGTCAAGTCAACGCGAATCGCCGCAGGACGAGCTTCACCGTTCCGGCAGGGAAGATTCGGCTGTTAAGGCAGCAATCCTTCTGGCCCTGCCCATATCGTCACCCCCACATCCCGTCACCCCACCTCCCTCACATTGTCGTTGGCGTTGCAGTTGCCATAGAAGTGCTCGGCCTGGTTGGGTCCGGACGTGAGCTCTGGCGTGCCCAGTGAGAAACATTCTACTGCACATAGTCAAACGTGGAGCTACCTGCAAAGGACTTGCTGTCTGGGACAAGAGGGTATACAGCAGAGGAGCACATGCACACTTTGGAGGCCGAGGGAGCTGGATCCTTGTCTGCGGGCCCCTTGAGTCTTCACACAGCACAGCAAATGTCTTCGTACTGAAGTTGGAAGCTTTGCACTGAATGCTTCCTGAAACGAGCTTTGGTGCTGACCACTTCCCGTCGACTCCAATTCTGACATTCCCTTCGCATTTGCAACTTGCTCCCTGTCATTCGAAGTCTTCAGGGACATGATGCAACAGCGGATTCCGCTACCTGGTCTGCGCACTTCGTCTCTTTGTTCACCCACTCATTGCCGAACATTGCAAACAAGCAAGCATTTTTGACCTGAAATGATGATTAAACTGTATCAGCTCTAATTGTTCTTTGGAATTTGACCTGGTAAGATCCAGCAGCGATTTTGCTTTCATCGAAGGTAATATCATCGAGATAGAGGCCTGCTTGTTCATCAGACAGAGGTAGAATCTTTGAGCTATCATACCGTCGGGGTTGCTGATCTCAAAGCCGTTTGCACACTGACAACCCTGCACGTATCGGATCAGAACGACCAATTGCAAAGTCAGAGCCATGGAACATGCCTTGCTCTTCCCTGGGGCAGGATCCTTGCCGAATGTTGTGATGGAGCAGAGCAACTAGAAGCTGTCAACAGAGCACTGTGAGCTTCCTGGTAGTACCTGAGACGTCGAGCCAACATCTTCGGTCCAGCTATCACCGCTCCCATACCTTGAGCAAACTAAGGGGTGATGAAGCACGGGAAGCGAAGACTCACCGGACGCGGCCGTTACATGTGCACTGCTGGCCTTCACTAGCGCAATCCTCTACAGAATCGTCATGATTGAATGGAATCAAAGCTGACCATACTCCAATCGGCCCCTGCACAGAGCCCGCACATGTTCTCCCGCACACCGAAGGCCTTACAGGCCGCACTCCTGACGTAGCAATTGCCGAAGTCTGTCTCCCTGTTCAACAACCTTTCAGCCCCTGAGAAATGTCAGATTTGGCTACAGACTTGGCGACAGGAATGCTGACACGGGAAGGACCAGCACCTGCAGGAAGATCAGTCTGCTATCTGGAGGTCTACAATCTTCAGTCCTTACCATCCAGTCCAGGAACACCGACCGCACCCTGTGCTCCTGGCGCCCCAGTGCTGATCAAAACATTAAGCCAATGGATATGCGATTCATAAAGTGATCTCACGGTCCGTTCTGGCCTGGTTGTCCCTGGGGTCCCGCTGCACCCACGGCACCGTCCTTGCCTGCTGGTCCTGGTTCTCCTGTCGGCCCACGAGGCCCGGGGGGGCCTTCCGGACTGTTCTCTCCTTGCGGGCCAGGCAGCTACGATCCGTGGTCAGACGCAGAGCAGAAGCCAAAGTGGCATACTCCATCAGCTCCGTTCGTTCCTGGTGCACCAGCAGAGCCGGGGATGCCTCGGGCTCCTGGGGGACCCTGAAGGCCTGGACTTCCTTGCGCTCCATCTGCTCCTTTATCTCCTTCTTTGCCTGCTTCCCCGATGCTCCCTGTCATCCCCTTGGCTCCCGTTCTTCCCTGGCAGCCGGGTGAGTGGCGCAAGCGAGGAGAGAAACGCTCGTTCTCAGCTTACTTGAATTCCTGGTACACCAGTAGGGCCAACGGGTCCCTTGTGTCCGACTGGTCCCCTTGAGCCCTGAGGTCCTTGTTCACCTTGTGGCCCGATGTCTCCGGGTGGCCCTGGCGACGAATTCAATATGGAGATGTATCAAGAAGTATTTCGTCATTTGCGGTCATACAAACTTCACCGACATACAGTCCCAACTGCATCAGAGTAGCATCTGGTACCTGTGAATCCTCGTGGACCTCGGGGGCTTATCTTCACCCTCATCTCACGGGGAGCACCGTGTTCGAAGTTACCCCGGATCAACTGGAACATGTCTCAATCGCTGAGAAAGCAGTGACATGACCTACTCTGAACTCTTGTTTCATCTTAGCAAGCTTAGCTCGAAGAGCTGAAACCATGGCCGAAATCGAGATATCACCAACGGGTGCCTGGGGAGCTGAAATATCGCTGGAGATAGATTCATCTGCTTTGGCCATATAATTTGCAGCCCAATGCTTGGTGCATTCAGTCGAATCTGCCGAGGCAAGGCAAGGATTCTTGTGGGCAGATCCTAGAGCCTGCGGAGGGGTATCAGGAGACCTCTCTTCTCGTCTCTGTCCACAGTCTTCCACCTCATCCATGCGCTTCTTCGCCAATTCTAAAGGGGCCGAGAAAATGTCTGACAACTGCGACCTGCGACCTGCGACCTGCAGCTGGGGTGAGGTGAAGAGTGACACAAAAGGGAAGCAAACATACCTGCAGCATTTCTTGTCTGTGCTGCCCATGAAGACCTACCAGCAACACACACACAAGAACCACAAGCGAGCCGGGAATCAACCAGATTATCCGAGATCGCCTCCTGTAAGAACCCACTTATCGACGAATGCAGCACTAAACAAGAAGGAAATGGAGGAGAGAGTGAGGAGCAAGGGGACAGAGTTGGGCGAGAGGTCATTAACAAAGGATGAACTACATAACGAGGTCAAAGGAGAGGGATAGACGAAGACTGGGGTGATTTTTAGAGGGGCTTGGGGGAAGGGGAAGGTTGTAGAGCAGATACAGCACAGAGAGGATCTTGCAGGAGAGTAGAACGAGCACAGGAGGAGCAGAGGCTTCAGAGTTTCTGCCATGCCGCACCTGTCGAAGGGTAGCAGCGGCTCCTTCTCAGACGCCATCGCGCCCCTTCGCTTGACGACCCTCCACCACCCTACCACCCAACTGTACCCCCGAAATCTACGGTGATTATCCCCACCCCTCCTCGCGAGGACATCATAGGGGGTACAATAGTGGTATATACACCGGTAGCGGGGGATATTTCAGTACCTACCCCTACCTGATTAAGACCTCCACCCACCCACATGTATGTATAATACACAAAAACGTTTTTCTAGTACCAGATAGCTCGATACCCGGTACAAACTTCTTTAATATGTATTTATATTTGACTTTTTTCTTCTTCTCGATTTAGCAATGAAATGGGGCAGTGGTAGTCGCTGAGAGGAAGAGGGAAGGGAGAGGAAGAGGGAGAGGGAGAGGGAGAGGGAGAGGGAGAGGGAGAGGGAGAGGGAGAGGGCGAGGGCGAGGGCGAGGTCGAGGGAGAGGTCGAGGGGGATGGGGAGGGACAAGGGACAGGGACAGGGACAGGGACAGGGACAAGGACAGGGACAGGGACAGGGACAGGGACAGGGACAGGGACAAGGACAGGGACAAGGACAGGGACAGGGACAGGGACAGGGACAGGGACAGGGACAGGGACAGGGACAGGGACAGGGACAGGGACAGGGACAGGGACAGGGACAGGGACAGGGACAGGGACAGGGACAGGGACAGGGACAGGGACAGGGAAAGGGGAAGGCAAGGGAGAACGGATTAACGGAAGATGCAAAGAAGTGAAGGAGTAGAGGGGGGAAAGGTAGAGTGCGTGTTTGAATTTGAAGTGAGTAGGGAAAGGAGAATGGAGTACGACAGGAAATGACTGTACTTCGGTTGAGTACGACAAGAAGTGACTGTACTACCGGGATGGGAGGGATGGAGGGAGCAAGTCAGCATAGAGATGTGTTGCAGGACTACCACAGACTGAATGGATGTCATTGAACCAGGTACCTTGGGGCCAGTGAGATCCGAAAAGCAGCCCATGCCGTTTGCGATCCTTCAGCGCGCTATGGCGCAAACAACACTGTTTGAAACGCACGACCACAAGTACAACCCCAAAGACCACAACGAAGAGGAGTTTTGCGCATGTCCGCAAATCTATGATGTGCAGAGCAATTTTCGAAGCGAGCAGTTTTCATGCTTCTGCCCATTCAACTATCAGCATGCCATTTACCTTTCAAACCCCACTTCTCTCTGATGTAGCTCTTTCTGTTTAGAAATGAAACAGCGTGATTAAGTTTACAAAGAATTCTTATTTAGCATTATCAAAACACCATTACTTTTCCATAGACACTGGGACTCCTTCTCGGGGACATTTTCCCGTTGGTCTTGGTTATGGAGCCAAACCACGTTCCAACCTGAGCTAGCTCTGGAATGTCAAGGAACTGCAAACAAAGTTTTAATTCATCTGAACAACATCAATGCTCCCATTTCACCTCAATGCTGGCCGAAAGAGGGATATCTTCGTGGGGTTCAGCGTTTTCTTGCAGGTCCGGTATTTCCAAGGCAACATGTGCTTCCTTGAAGCTTGTCATGGCTCCGTTCAACAAGAACAGATCACAAGACCTTGTTGTCTTTCGGAGCTTGAGTTTTCTTTGTTCTTTGATGAGGAGGCACACCCTGCCATCGCCGTGAACAAGAAATTATCTTCGGCTATTTCTTCTAGTCACCTTCGTCCCAGGAGAGATGTTGTCATTGCGCCACACTCCTTCATAGGTGTTTCCATCTGCCCATACCAGTTTCCCGAACCCGTGACGAAGGTCATCGCACCACTCCCCTTCATACTTGTCCCCTGCAAGACTTCAACAGTCTCTCCAAGTGTCAAGACTCTCACCGTTGGAATACACGCAAACCCCATGATTGTTACGCAAATCGTTCTCCCAGTCGCCCTCATAGCAGTCCCCGTCCGACCACGAGTATTTCCCGTAACCGTGTTTCTTGTCTTTGTGCCAATTTCCGCTGTATTCATCGCCAGGCAATACTTTCGGCTGCAAAGTTTTGTGTCACACAACTGTAGGATGTAGCGCAAAGCATACAAGTGCGGCGTCAGGCATCAACACTTTCACAGGAGCAGTCGTGTATACACCCCACCTGTTCAATTTCATGTCATCTACCACAAACAATTTTCGAGACGTACCCCTCGCGAAAATTTGCTACAAAGTTCCCAACAAACACGTCTTTGTTTGCATATTCGCATCTCCCTTCTCCTTGACGCATGTCGTTTTGCCACATCCCGTCATAGACGTCGCCTTGTATCTTTTCAATCGCAAGACATCAGACGGGGCTTTTACCGTTAACATATTTCATCGTCCCGCGCCCATGCCGTTTGTCATTCAGCCATGCACCTTGCTGGAAACTCAACCAAGAGACTACCAGGGATGAGTCAATATCACCGTCATACAGTCCATCCTCGGCGTAAGAAAAGCGCCCGATTCCGTTCATCACTCCCGCCTTCCACTCTCCTTCATATTCATCGCCGGACGCCCAGCGCATCCTGACATCAGATTGAGAAGGCACAACAATGCTTGACGTTTGCAGTGAGCAACCTTCCTTTTCCAGATTTCAAGTTTGATTTCATTTCTCCAACGTACATGTTGCCTTGAAAACTTTCACAGATCTAGATGCTTTCATTTCAATCCACGTATACCATTTATGTACTTGATTGTCCCTTCCCCCGACATTTCGTCCTGAAACCAGTATCCTTCGTACATGTCCCCGTTGTTCCATATAAATTTTCCTGGAGGTTTAGAATCATAAACAGCAGTACAGCTCTTTTGATAGATCCAAATCTCCACACCGAATCCTTCTTTGTTGTCAGCAACGAAGTTCCCTGTGTATGAGTTCCCATTGTGGTACTTGAAATCTCCGTAACCCCACCTGCAACACAGCGTCAGAGAGCAGACAAAAGCTGCTCCAGCGGGAGACATCTTGTTGTCTTTCCAATCGCCCCTGTATTGATCGTTGTTTGCCCAGGTCAAGGTCCCGTACCCACACTTGCGATCTGGCGAGGGTCAGTCCCTCAGCCGAGAAGTGACCGGCAGCACCTTTGTTCCAGGATCCGATGTACACGTTTCCGTTGTGATACTCGAACCTGCCCATTCCATGTCGCTCTCCGGACTGAAACTCACCAACGTACTGCAGCAAACAGCTCAAGGAGAGTATCGGAGCTCAACACGAATGAGCACCTGACCCGACGGGTAGCTCAAAGATCGAAACTCCCTGCCGTTGCGAGAGATGACTGAGTTTGACGGCTCCAAGGGTGTCTGAAACAGAACCAGCCGTCACGCTCCTTGCTCCAGGCATCTAGGGCCTCTGGAGCACTGACCCCTCTTGTACATGTTGTGGTCATACCTGCTTCAGGTTGCCACTGTTCTCATACTCTTGGGTTTGTTCCTTGTCGATGTTGCTCTGCTCTTGTCTGGTGGTTGCCAAAGTCAACGACTGAGTCGAGCATGAAGGCTCGAAGACACCTCACATCACCATCACCATGCATGTCCTCGAGAGCTCCACGCACAAGGGCGGCGATCCATTCCTCTCTCTCTGCCACAGAGTTGCACTGCAACAAAAGCTTCTTTCCATCCTAGTGAGAGCTATGTAAGCTCAGCTCTCTTATACAAATAGTCACAGACCTTGCAATTGACCGAGAAGGATTTGTCATCAGTCTCTTTCACAGCGCTCACAGTTTCGAACTGTGAAGCATTACTAAAGTTGTTGGCCATGGATTGCAAGACAATTTTTTTTCATGAGGTTACCTGTTTGCACTTATTCTTGCTCGGTACATGCTTGATCGTGATAAATCCATCCCAAACAATAACAAAACGAGTTTGCCATCGAGAAAGAAACCCGCTGGACTTCTTTTGAAGCCAACCAGATTTCTGCATCTCAACGACCTCGAATTGAAGACATTTTCCATTTCATGGTGGCAAGCTGAGCCTACTAAGGTCCCGTCCCCATGTGCACCTCCCCTCCTCTCTTCTCATCTCCTCGTCCTCTCCTCTCTCCTCTCCTCCCTCTCATGGCATGTTCGTCCACAGCAATCTCGTCGTTATGCACACCGGTAGAACCAAAACCGACCGGCACCCCACCCCCTCCTCATTTGCATCCTTTGAAGTACGGTACTCAGAAGGACCCCCTGTACCCCCACCCCAGTGATGAGGTTCGATCCCCTGGCGTTTGAAATTTTGTTGCCCGAGCCTCCTTTCACCATGCTGAAAACGCGTGAGGGAAGAGGAGACGAAAGCAAGAGAAGTGAGGAGAGGAGAGGAGAGGAGAGGAGAGGAGAGGAGAGGAGAGTAAAGGGGAGGGGAGGAGAGGAGAGAGGAGGAGAGTAAAGGAGAGGAGAGGAGAGGGGAGGGGAGGAGAATACAGGAGAATGCAGGAGAGGAGAGGAGAGGAGAGGAGAGTAAAGGGGAAGAAAGGAGAGGGGAGGAGAGGGGAGGGGAGGGGAGGAGAGAGGAGGAGAGGAGAGGAGAGGAGAGGGGAGGGGAGGGGAGGGGAGGAGAGAAGAGAGAGAGGAGAGGAGAGGGGATTAGAGATAGAGAGGGTGAGAACAGGGAGGATGTAGGACACGGGATAGAGATTAGCAAGGAAGGGAGAAAATCACCCGATTGGAATGTTAGGCGATAATCTTACTCGAATGTCTACTCACTGTGAGCGTGAAACGAATTCAATGTGCTAGGGCAAGTTTGTTTCGGATGTTAACTTATTTCATTGATGTCGCCCACTTGGTCGTTTTCTTATCATCCCGAACTAAACCCTAGACCGATCGCTGCTTACTCCCTTTCCCTTCTACCTCATTATGTACACCGACCCTTTCAGCATTCTGGTTCCTCTGCAATTCAAACATCAGAGGAACGCAAGAATGCAGTTGGTTGCTGACCGCTTGCAGTGCGAGACTCGCCTGAAGAGTAGAACTCAAAATGAACCGAGGATGTTGTAGTCATAAAGATGTCAATGCATTCCATCCCTCTATTCGCACCTGCATTTTTCCTTCTTCACTTGGCACCATTCTGCGCTCGAAGAAGGCTCCGACATTGTAATATAAACTGAGCTCCCCTCTTCCTCCCACCTCTTCCACCTGCGAATCCTTAAATTGCAAACCCTCCAACAGTGTTGTGGACCGAGAAGATGTAATCTGTGAATGCTTCTTGCTGCATCAATGCAGATTCAGGAGGATCTATCGTGACCTGTTATGCTTGTCACTGTACAAGCCCAAGGAAGCTTCGAATGATTCTTTCCTTATCGTAAGTTGTGACGAGATTGTACATAACGCAAGAAAGTCTCCATCCTCTCTTGGCCCAAGCCTGCTTCTCTTGTAAGAAGATGAGCGTCAGAGTCAAATGCCAGGACCTTGACTATTCTTATCAACGCCCCGCTAATTACACTGCCAGTTCCTCTCAACTCTACAAGCTCCAGCTGCGAGAATGGATCAATCTCGTCTGAGATCAAGAAGACTTGGGATGATGACCTGCATACGCGAGGCGGAACTCTCTTGGGAAAATACAAGATGCGAGAACGGGGAGACGACAACTAGAATGCAGCATATCAGCAGCATGCGGATAGTGAAAGGTAGTAACTTCACCCACCATCGGGATACATGGCGTAACTCAGAACGAAATCCTGAACCTGGGCCCGACTATGCATAAAGGCAGTCACAGGCACATGATCGATTGAATTCTCGTCTGTCTCACCCTCTCAGCGCTGCCCGAAATCTCCATCCGCTCCTAGCCTTGTCCCTTGCAAGACTCAATACCTGTGAAGTCCAATCAATCTCGCGGTTCGAACTTAGTCTCTTCATACATCCTCGAAGTCCACTCCTGCTCGAATCAAGGTTGAGCTTGAGTTCGTCACAGTACAATACAAAGAGTGAATAGACCTGAATCGTTCGGAAGAGGCTCAAGGAGGACGTTTGAGTCAGTTTTCCCCATGACCTGCATTCAAGTCCTTGAGGCCGTGAAAATCAGCACGAATGCACAAACCTCGTACGTGGCGAGTCCGAATGTGTTGGAAATGAATAAATATCCCTTGTGAAAGGAAAGACCATCGGGATCATGAGGATTGACAGAAAGACGGAACGATACCTTTGTCGCCTCAGCCTGGATGTCTCGTACCAACATCTCTTCGTCAACCTGACCCCAAGATCGCGTCAAACAGAACATCGTTGTCAAGGACATACCGTGATCCGATGCGTTACATAGGGATTACATCCGGTCGCAATGGGTGTCTCCACTATCAGGTATCTGCGCCTGTCTCATTTTCTGCAGCCACGTCACTTCGAGGTACCGGTCTTCTCCGACTATAGGGGCATCATATTCTCCGAGTCTCTGGCTGAGCTGATGGCTCAGTGCCTATGTCATCCTATCAGCCTATGAATTCGAGGCGAGCTGAGTAGAATCGAACTTCAAGGAGCGAGTCTTGACTCGCCGAGTACCCTTGGAGGTTGGCTTCAGCACTGTCCGGAAACCTGTCAACATCATTCGGAAAGATCCATGAATTAGATCGCATGCTTCACATGCTCTCGCTCGAGTCCATAGCAGGCAGATGATTGCTTCCCAGTAAATCCGCACTCCGGGCCTCAATCTTGCTCTGCGTCTTCAACTTCTCCATGTCCACGTCCTCGACCTTCTCCAACCTACATGCGCCGTGAGCCCTCGAGGAAGCATGGAACAGCAGCTGCCTGTAGGTGAAGCGGGGCTGCATGGCCGGGCCTGTGGGCATGAAGTGGTCTATGATCCTCCTCCTCTCCTCGATGTTGGACTTCTTCGACGTGCAGCAGCCCATTGTGCATTCCAAGCGCACTGTGCGTAACGAGCTCGCCTCAGTATTTGTTCCTAGTGAGATTAAAGACAGAAAGTGAATTGCGATTTAGACTAGCACAAACGGAAGGGCAGCAAATCCAGTAACGTCAGTAACGGACTATGCGGTTGGGAGATTGATGAGCCCACATGCTGCAGAGCGATGAGAGTGGAGAAGCGGAGGGGAGAGAAGAACGAAGAGGAGGGGAGAGAAGAACCAAGAGGAGGGGAGAGAAGAACCAAGAGGAGGGGAGAGAAGAACGAAGAGGAGGGGAGAGAAGAACGAAGAGGAGGGGAGAGAAGAACGAAGAGGAGGGGAGAGAAGAACGAAGAGGAGGGGAGAGAAGAACGAAGAGGAGCAGAGAAGATTGAGCTGTCCGCTATCCCGAAGGAGGCTGAGAAGCCCATCTGATGGTCAGGTCGAAGGTCAACCAGACATAAGGAAGCATGAGGCAGCACAATACTACGGTTTACAGAGGGTTCAGCTCATTCAGAAATTCGATTGCAAACATAAAGGTCAAGGAGGGAAAAGAGGTTCATGATAGCAGTCAGAGGATCATAACAAGATGATATTGATGAAGGAGGTTTGTCGACATGAAGAAGATGAGAAAGTGTTACGGAACAAGCTGTTATCTGTGATTCATGCTAAGGTTGATCTGGTACCACAGTGATAGAGCGATGAAGCTTCCTCCACCTCCCCAGCCATCAGCTAGTAAAGTGGCACCTTCGAAAGACTTGGATGAAATTGAGGAGGTCGAGGACGACAACAGCTCAGAAGCGTCAAGGTTTTTCAGCTTTCTTTATGCATGTAATTCTCAACGATTCACAGTGAAAACGAAAAACTGGCCAAGACTTCAAAGAAAGACCAAGATGAAGTTCAGCCGCGCGAGAGGTCGCTCTCCTTCGATGACCTCTATCAGCTTGCACCGCTTCAGGTACTGTAAAGCAATCATTGTATGCCTGGCAGAGCATGAGCATGGTGCAAGGATGGGCTCTCTCTTCAATCTGCCTTTGCCTTCGAGCCACTGGAAGGGGATGAAACTAAGGGTTTGAAAGATTGCTGTTCCTTTCAGGCCCCTGATGCATCCCCTCAGCATTTCGGAGATCAGCTTCTCTTGATGGAATCTATGCACTTGCAGAAGCCATGATTCGAGAATCTGAAGACCGATCTCAGGTATTTTGTTTTGTTGCCAAGCTTCATGCTATAGATCATGTTTCTCATTCGAACGCAGGACGATGATGACGTATCAGAAGAAACAGCAACAGTCATGTCTGTCCCAGCTGGTGGCGGTAAGGGGCTTCCGAGGCATAACACGATCAGATCCTTGATTGGTGTTCCAAGGTGGGAAATCCACTACACCGAGGACCGCGATCTCTCTGGAGGATTATGGGCCTCGTAAATCTTCACGGAGAAGACGGGAACGAGGTTCAAACTTCTTGCGTATAAGACTTTTGCTGACACAGATGGGTGAAGAGTATGAGATCGAGTCAGTCAGTACTGCTGAAGAGGATGATTCTCCTGCTGAAAGATTATTCGGCAAAGAAAGGTCTCTTAGAATTTCGTGTTGTTCTCATGTAACTCTTGACGGAAGGGCCAATGAGCTGCGAAAGAGAATCACCAAGAGCAAGAAAGTTTCACCCCAGGTACTCCTCTCCGGTCCGATATGTTTGTTTCTACGAGCCTCATTCCTTCGCAGGCAGCGCGAGAGGCATTAGATGCAGCAACTGCCGGTACAACATTCGGTTCATTCATCGGGAAGTTCTCATCCCTTCTTTTCTATTAGCCATGCTTGGATCTGATTCAACAGAAACGATTGAGTTTGTCACATGGTTCAGGTGGCCTGCATTTTGTTTATTGGACAATTCAAGTTGATGTTGTGCTGCAGTGTTTGGATCCTGATAATCTTTTGGCTGCTCTTCTACTCCTCATACGGCCCAACTCTCTGGCGGTGAATCAAGTTGTCCTGTGCTTGTTGTTGCTGACCTGTGCTCGATAGATTTCTTTACGGACCCATGGGTCTTGTTCTTGTGTTGCCCTTCGGGTTCGGTCTTCTGTTCTGGCTCGTCACTTACGTCTTCACCGAAGAAGAGGATTGAAGCTTGTTCTGCTTTTCAATCCCGTCTGACATAGACATATTACCTTAACGCTCTTTCAGAGCGGAAACATGACATCGAAACTAACCAACATTCCAGTAAGAATTTCAGAACTCTAGTGAGTTCAAGAAAGCTTTTCGGTTGAGAAATGAAATTGTAGAGTACAAAGATCGTGTGTGATTCTGGTCACCAGAAACTCATCCAAAATGCTTTTCGATATCATGCAGCTCTGTCTCAGCCAGTCTTTGAGATTTTTGTATCTTTAAAATGGAGTGAAGCTTGTTCATTGTGCTGGATTGCTTGGGTTTTGACAAATGAACTTTTCCTGCAGACTTAGAAGAAACGAAAGCTTTCGATCTGAGCTTCTGTGCCACTCCTGCAAAGGAAAAGCATCATTCCAGATCAACAGTCACCAACAAGCAAGTACCTTGCTGCAAAAGCTGCTCTTTCCTGGCCTTGTCCATCAATCGTCGAACGTCCATGGCAGAGACCGTCTTTACAAGGGGGTCGAGAGGTTTGAGCTCAAGTGGGATATGATTCATCTCTTGCTCTCTCCGCAGGACTGCTCGAGATGCGATACGCGCAGCAGCAGCAGCCTTCAACGCTGAGCTCAAGGAAGGCGCGGCCCGCGTTTTCCGTGAGGTAGAAACAAGAAGCTGTATGGCTGAGGGTAGATCGGGAGAAAACGACGAGCACAATACGAGAGTTGCGCTCAAGCACAAGAGCAAAGCGCCACTACATGCGGCCATTCCACGTCTCATCACCTTGTCGCCTTGTCGCTCTGCCTCCTCGCCCCCTCCATGACCCTCCAACATTCTTCTCCCGCCCATGACTGACTCTATTCCTGGCGGCAAAGACCGTTACTGTCTTACTCGGATCCAAAACGGTTAGGTATCCGTGGATATCCGTGAGTATCCGTGAGATTTCGGGGGCCACGGGCATCGACGGCGATGCTGCGGACCAGGCGGAGCATGACGAGTGTAAGCCTGATGCTAATGGCGTCCTGCTGCCTCGACTCTCTCTGTCTGCCTCCTCCCTCCTTCATCTCCTCCCCTCTCAAGAGCCCCCTCCTCTCGTCTCCCAGCAAGTCCTGCCGCTGCCCCGCTACATTTCTACGCAAGAACCCAGGGACGGGTGGGAATCTCCTTGGAAGCAGGAGAGGAGGTCGGAGCGCTATGCACGAACCTCTGCGGGCTGTCATGACTGATGAAGCTGATGACTTCATCTATGGCGAGCTTGAGGCTTCTGAGCCTTCTGAGAGGAAGAGGGTGAAGAACATCACAGCTCACATCAGCGGGGCAGGGACCCCCCGTCAGATCGCCTTCGATCTTCTGCTGAAGCGGGAGGTTGGAGGCTCCAACACTTTCATCGAGAACATTCTCAATGACGTTGTGTCAGAGTCGCTGCTGTCCAGCTCTGATCGGGGCTTCTGCAAGGAGCTCATCTACGGATGCATCAGGTGGAAGGCACTGCTGGACCACTTGGTTGCGAGAAGACAAGACGGCAAGAAGAGACAGAAAGCGGCAGTGCAAGTGATTCTGAGGATGGGGCTCTACCAGCTCTTCTTCATGGACAGAGTCCCCTCTCACGCTCTTGTCTCTGAGTGTGTGAACCTTGCCAAGAGTCGGGGCGCCGCAGGGGCAGCAGGGTTTGTCAATGCGTTCCTCCGGCAGTACGTGCGGGAGCAGGCGGAGACACAGGAGCTCATCGCAGAGTTGCAGGAGAACAAGCTTCACATCGGATGGTCTCACCCGGACTGGCTCGTCAACGAGTGGGTGAAGCGATACGGCAAGGAGGGAGCACAGCGGCTGCTTTCTTGGAACAACAGCCCAGCTCCCATCTTTGCCAGGATCAACCGACTGAAGTCCACCGGCCCGACAGTCCGCAAGTTGTGGGAGCATGAGCCCATCACTTTCCGAGACGTGCAGGTTGACTGGTGCGACAGTGAAGACTTGGCTGAGATCAAGGTCAGCGCGCCCGTTCACTCTCTTGACAGTTTCAAGCGCGGCCTCTTCTACGTGCAGGATCCATCGACCCTGCTGTCAGTGAAGGTGCTTGATCCTCAGCCTGGAGAGAGCATCCTCGATCTCTGCTCAGCGCCCGGAGGGAAGTCTTGCTACATCGCGCAGAGGATGGAGGACAAGGGCAAGTTGATCGCCTCGGACATCGACGAGTTGAGGTTGAACGTGGTGCGAGAAAACAGCGAGAGGCTCGGCATCACCTGCCTTGAGGTGTGTTTGCCAGAGGCTCAATCCTCACACATCTTCTTGCTGCTTCTTCCCTGTCCCCACCGTTGTCGCTGATCTTTCTCACTGACTGCCCGTTCAGACCCAACCCGCCTCGGCCATTGATCATATTCTAGCTGGAGAACAGCCGATGACGTTCGACCGGATTCTGATCGACGCGCCATGCTCGAACTCGGGGGTGATCCGGCGAAGGATCGACGTGCGATGGCGAATCTCAAAAGCTGAGATTGCACAGCTGCATGAAACTCAGTTCGGACTTCTGATGAAGGTGTCTGAGCCCCTTGAAGTTTGCCTGCTCTTGTCGCTCACAGGATCTTTGTGACAGGCCGCCAAGGCAGTGAAGAAGGGAGGGATTATAGTGTACAGCACGTGCAGCCTCGAGCCGGAGGAGAACGAGCACGTGATCCGACGTTTCCTCAAGAGAAGCGAGACGCGGTGACGACGTGAGTTCAGCGCGCACGGGAATGACAGGCATGCAGGTTCGACTTGGAGTTCTCGCGGCAGCTTTCACCCATTACCGACTCAACTGACGGAGCATATGTGGCGAAGTTGAGGCGCTGCCAAGACTGAGAGAGAGTGGAGGGAACAACACGGTAGTTGCAAACATGTATAATACAGACATCACATGCTATGGTGTTAGCTGCTCTCCTTCCTTTCCGTCCAAGGCTCCATAGAGGAGCATGTAGGCAGTGAAGGAATCCCTCGATCGCTCCATCTGGCACGGCAAGGGGAACGAGTCAGCTGGGACCGGAGCAGGGCGAGACCTTACGGGCTGAAGGAACTTCTGGACGTGCAGGCCGCACAGTGCGCTGACGTTGGAGTCGTCAAAGTGATTCCAACCTGAGCTTGACCTGGGCACTCTCAACCCACCAACTGAGGATGCTGACTCCAGCTCTCACCTACAGATCACCGTGTAATGGCCCAGGGCTTCTGATAAGTGACTGCGCAGTATCACCGCCAGCAGCTCGTAGCGCCTCGTAGGGTCCTGTCGCTCGCTGCCTCGAGGTCAGGATCCTGCCAGCGGAGGCAGCGGACGGTACCTGCCGATCAGGACCTCGTGAGACAGTGTTGTCTGGATGTTGGTGGCGAGACCCGGCTGGGTGAGGTGGATCATGAGGTATGGCGGGTAAGGCGGAGAGAAGCTGGTCCATCGAGCAGCCTCGACCATGGTGTTGCAGCGAGGACAGGCGTACTTGTCGGCTCCTCCTAACACTTCGACCTGCGTGAAGTTTGGGAAGGTCAAGAGAACGCGGGCCGAGGTAGGGGAAGAGGAAGGAGGGAGGAGGTAAAGAGTAGTCGAGGAGGGTCAAGGGCACGCACTGATGATCGACTGTACAAAAGAAAGTTGATGGAGGCGCTGTCTTCAACCTTGAGAGATAGGCTGCATGCTACAGGTGGGACGACATAAGTCCCTCGCGCGTCAGTCAACCACTTCCTCACCTTCCTCCTGTTGGGCGGACACCAGCTCGCATTCTTGGCAGCGTGTAGAGTGGACTGACACAGCCCGAAACAAGTTCCTAGCACAACATGAGCCAAATCCCGTGCAGAGCTGGAAACGACTTAGCACTCTGAGGGAGATCGTCCAGAAAGTGAAGGAAGAGCTCGTGGGCGTCTTGCTGAGCGCCGCCAGAAATTCCGTACTCCTGCACGGGCCGAGTCATCCTCCTCTCCTCTCCTGCAGGCCTTCTTCCAACCGTCTGCAGGGAAGCGAGCACTTGCGTCGGCGCCATCGCCGTTGCTGCCTGCAGGGGCATCAGGTGGGGCCTGCAGCCTGGCAAGAAGCCCGTGACCTCATCCATGTCGCGCAGCTGCTGCTGGAGCGCGAGGAGGACGGAGGATTTCATGTCCTCGGGGCTCATGCCGAGAAGAAGTCGGCGCAGAGGGCGGACATGGCGCAGCATCTGCACGATCACGTTCACGTAGCATGTGTTTCCCGCGTTCAGCAGCCCGATGGGCGGGAGGGTCTCGCGGGCAGCGAAGGAGCAGCATGCAGGAGTCGCTTCGGAAGCTTGCCTCTTCTCGTCCCTGCAGGGCTTCTCCTCTCCTCTCCTCTTCAGCCGCAGCCTCCCCCCGCTCATCCGATCCTCGCCATCGGCTCCCCCGCCCCTGCCCCGCCCCCCGACTTGCCCCACATGTTTTATTTGGGACTGAGGCAAATAGTCGCATCGGGGAGCTGGGAGGAGAAGAGAAGCAGGAGGGGGAAAGGGAGGATGGTGACGTTCTATGGAGAAGCAGAGGTATCCTTGTTCTCCTTCCTCCTTCCTCTGCCTCATCCTTCCTCTTCTGCTGCCAACCTCTACTGCATGTCACTTCCTCGAACCCTTCTTCCTTCATGCCTCACCTGACTTCTACTGCTCTGCTCGAACCTCTCTCACACTCCGTCCCTCCTAACTTCTCCTCGTCCCCCTGACCTGTCCCTCTCTTTCTTCTGCTCCACCAGACGATTTTCTTGACCAAGTTCGAGAATGCCAACGAAACCACTAGGAAGCTCTACGACGACTTGAGCAGAGGTCGGGCATGCGGGGGAGCTTCGGCGAGTCTACTCACTTGCTGCATGTTGTGCTCTCAAGATGGAAAGCACGTTCTAGTCGCCACAGTAAAGTCTTCAGGGTCCCTGCTCATGGTGAGCGGGCGAGACGGGCGGTAGGAACAAGAACTGCTGTGCTGGTGCGAGCATGACGAGTGTGGAAGGCTCATAGTGGCGAGCAAGAACGGGACAGACAACGTGTACAGTCAGAGCGGGCACTACCTGCTGCTGAAACACCTGCGAGACGTGAGAGGGCAGGGAGGGTCGCTAAGAGAAATAACCTGCTGCTGCAGGAGTTTCCGGAGGGTTATCAGGTCAAGTACCGGCAGCTCATCCGTTTCCTCCAGCACAACAAGCTTTCGCTGGTTCCTCTCCCTCTGCTCTGAATTTGACGCTCAGCATGCACCACCCAGGGATGTGAAGTGATCGCCAACTGTCTGGGAGAGCATGGAGAAGTCCCCAAGACTGAACATGTCGTCGTCAACGCAGTGTCCTGTAGGACGCGGCTGAAAGCCTTGTCGCCTCTTTTCCTCACTGTTCTTCGAGTGGGTTTCCTTGTGCAGCCTTGCGTGTCTGAGTTCCTTGCAGAGAGAGTTTCGACTGATCATCCCGGGGATGTACATCTTTCAAGATGGTGAGAAGTGAGGGGGAGGTCCGGCTGCTGAAGCCTATCGCAAGCTCAAGTCTTCTACTCGACTTACGACAAGTTCCGATGGGACTTCAACGCGAGATGGTGCGACATCCATGATGCCATGAAGAGAGAGGCGTGGAAGCACATCGACATGGAGTACGACCGGCTGCACTCAGACCTGCTCGAGGTCTGCTGGGCAATTTGGGAGGAGATTCAATGTTCCTGACATGATGGCAGGGGTTTGTTGCCTACTGGATACCCAAGGAGGACGTAGCTTTCATGCTTGAGTCTAGTATGAGACATGGATGATGCGCAAGCATGTGACTGCTTGCTCAGATGGGGATGAAGGATTGGGACTGCTGGGGTTGGCCTCGTTGGAGCAGACGCTGGATCCTCTCGTCAGCAGTACGTCTCAGCCGACCCAGGAGCAGTGGCCGACCCTCGAGAGCCTCTTGGGGGATGCCGGACAGATGGATACGCTGTATGCTGAGGTGGGAAGGATTCTAGAGCGGGAGACGGGCGACCGAGTTCTGTCGGAAGCGAGAGAGGCGACATCGAAGAAAGAATCGATGCAGAAGCTCCGGGAGGAGTTTCGCATGTTGATGGCAAACAGCCGGCCGAGGATATTCGGTAGGGTCTCCTCGTTGCTGCGAGGCTGCGCTGACGGGATGGCAGACAACGACATGGTGGGGTACGGGGGAGTTTCCTTCATGAAGATGATCAGCGCGTTAGAGCAGCTGCGTCTTCCTCACGAATTGAAAGTTTCCCGTCCCGCCAGCTCCCAGTCGCCGCTCAAGAAGGAGAGCTTCAACGAGTTCCTCGTCACGGTCCACGTGCTGCAGGACTCCGCCTTTCCCAAGTACGAGAAATACAGGCAAGAGAATGAAGACGAGAACCTGCCGCCTCTGCTACGAGGATACACGTGGTACATCTCATTTCTCAACGAGGAGGAGGAGCAGGATCGTCCGAGCAAGAAGGCGTGCCTGGAGCAGCAGCAGGAGGAGGAGACACTTCTTGACATGGATACGCTCTTGTCGCACGGGCCCTTGGAGGGGAGCGTGTGGAAGTTCAAGGTCGTCTCGTACATGATCCGAACCTTCCTCTATCGCAATCTCGGGAGTGTACTCGCTAAGAATGGCAACAAGGCTTCCTTCCTTCAGAGCACGGAGAGACTCATCGAGTCCTGGGCCCCTCCGATGTCTGTGAAGGAGGAGCTGTACAAGCGAGCCACCCTCTGGGCTGACAGCATCATGGCTCTTTCCCCTGATGAACGCAACGATCTCGCGCGTGGAAAGTATCTTTCTGTCCTCCGCAGTCACCTGGACGTCATTGCTCGAGGGCAAGGTGCCGTCGCGTCGAGTCAGGAGGAGGTTGGCATTTACTTTCTCATTTCTCTCCATCCTTGGTTCGAGGAAACGGCTCGCCTGCTCTCAGACCATCTCGCTCATCGGACGGGATTCCGCCGAAATGTCCTTAAGCCCGAGGACTTGAGCATGGAAAACGCCGTGCTTCTAGCTGGCATGTCGGGTGTCGTCTTCGGGCAGATCGGGGATGGGCACATCTTCAAGGTCGCTCGTCTCATCTCGAAGCTTCCGCTCAAGACCCGAGCAGCAGTGGTCGTCATGCATGCGGTGAGCTTGGAGCACGCGGACGCAGAGTGCGACCGCCGAGGACTGGCAGCGGATGCAGACGAGAGGAAGAAGCTCAAGGGCTTGTGTGCGAGCGTGATGGACCATATGGACAGACTCCAGACGTCGCTTGGGTCGGGAGCTTGCTTCCAGCTCCTGAGCATCTCAGAGGGAGAGGGTGACGACAGAAACCAGAGCTGTGAACGGATCATGGCGGCCATGCGCGCAGCTCGGGAGAGGATGATCAAACCCCCGAAGGAGCTGGTGCAGGGAGGACGAGGCTCTCCTTTTAGCACGATCCACATTGTCATGTTCGTCACTGTGGTGGGATGGGGAAAGAACGCTATCTGCGACAAGGTGACTGGTGCCCGTGCCTGTGTGCGTGCCTGACGACTTCTTGCAGCTAGAGGCGATACACAAGCAGTCACTGGCAGGAGGAGGAGGAGGTCTGCATGGGCTGCTGGGGTTGCCCGAGGGAGAGCTGTGCGTGCTGGAGGGCGACCATCTGAAGAAGACGTTTTGGACTGAAGTAGAGAAAGTGTTCAGAAGGAAGAGCATGAACCTCCTCATCCTCAACCGAAACTTCCCCCCCAACTCCTGGGCCACCAGCCTCTCCAAGCTCGACAAGGCCGGAAAGATGGCAGGGAGAAGCTTTCACGTTAGCGCGGCCCTCCCGTACTCGCAGGCGACTTCGGGATACGCGTTTGGTCTCGCGGACCTCGCTGTCTGCCTCCAGTCGGTTCAGATGCGGAGGAATCACGGTACAAGTTTGGACGGCGAGCAGAGTCAAGAGACATGCAAAGTGACCAGCATGTTCTTCAACTTCTACAACTACCAAGACTGGGAGACGCTCGCCCAGTCTGTGCGAACTCAACTCACCCGCAGGGTTGCTGTCGTCCCGTGGCTGAAGGAGGGAGCTGAAGAGGAGCTTGCGAGACACGAGGAGCTCTCAGCGTCAGTCCAGCTGGTGGCTACGATGCCTCAGGGGATGTTCAACCTCGGCCACGAGACGAGCACACGCGACTGCCTAGCCCGCCCTAAGCACCAGGAGCTCCTCAGCTCACTGCGGTTGTCGCTCGATGAGGTCGTTGACAACTTGACACGCAGTCTAAGGACATCGTTCGGTGTCAGCGGCATGCAGGACATCGCTCCTCGATACGCCAGCATCGATCTCGATCAGCAGTCGGTAGTCGCACTCGTTCATAGCGTGTCCTCTCACGTCCCCGAGGATATCGCAAGGAGGCTGCAGGAGTATCAACAGTCTTCTGCTCGCAGGAGGTACCACGTCACGCTGTGGCATTCTCAATCGCATGCTGTGGAGCTGCTGCAAGAGTTGAGCGAGTTCAAGGGCGCTGCTCAGGTGATCTCGCCAGGTGAGCCGCGAGCTTGTCTTGGTGTGGTTGTGACGTCTGCGCCAGCTCTCCTCGTGGCCGACGAGTACTGTATCGCCCTCTCTGTTCGCGTGCTCTCCAACGCCCTGAGCCCCACCGTCCCTTGCTACAACCAGTTCCCCCATGTCACCCTATGGTGCGTCAAGCCCGACATGGCAAAGCACTCGAACGAGCTGATCGAGGCTGCGGTGGCTGGAGGAGACAACGGGGGCGACTCTCCCCGCCCCTTCACGCTTGACCTGCAGGAGCTCCAGGACGACGTTGTGCGTTCTTCTCTGTGCGGGACTGTACGATGGCACTTTTGATTAAAGCAGTGTTGATTGACTCCATCCCACATCTGCTAGGAAGGCTGTGAGGCTGCATACGTTCTCTCTGATTCAGCATATACTCGCTTTCGTTTGTTCCTCTGTGTGCTATTTTCTGGCTGCCCGGGCCGTGCAGGCCTGGCCAGTGGACTCGGAGCCTGCCGTGGAGCAGCGCGGCCCGTGGACCGTCGGACTCCGGGAGGCCCCGGGTACTGTGTGGGGATGCGGGGGGATACATGACCGAGTGGAAATGTTTTTCAAATTTTCAAAACCAGGGTGGGATGAGGAGGAAGAGACAGGAGAGGAGGGAGAGGAGGGAGAGAAGGGAGAGACAGGAGAGGAGGGAGTGGAGGAAGGGACGGGAGAGGAGGGAGTGGAGGAAGAGGAAGAAGAGAAAGGAGAGGGGGGAGAGGAGGAAGAGACGGGAGAGGAGGGAGAGGAGGGACGACAGGAGGGAAGAGAGATAGAAGTGAGAGGCAAGAGATGGGAGAAAACAGGAAGGGAGACGAAAGAGACGAAAGGCACTTTGGGCAATATCCAGAGGCAGAATGACAGCATGGTGCGAAGTGGAGGATTAGGGAGTGTGATGGAATGATGAGACGAATATTGGAAGAAGTTCAAGGTATCACCAAAGTCTTACTGAAAGAAGTGTGGATATACTATTCAGAGTGCATTACAATGATTCCACTTATGTAGGACAGTGAGTGAGGGTGCGAGAGCAGGGGCGAAAGAGATGAAATGAAGGCAACTCCAAAGGACTTAATATTTTTCATGACATCTTCTTTTGCAGGTCGGCAAACAGCAGATGGCGGCGGCAAATCCTATGCCATGTGATTGATTCTTGATTCTTGGCTGTAGAATTCAAAGGATAGGATGGAGATAGCAAGAGTTCTTGACCGTGTTGAGAAGACAGCAGAGAAACTCAATAGTGATTCGCGAAAGATTCTCTTTGAAAAGATTCTGGAATGCGCCAAATCATTTACCCAGCCGCCCACGAGGGAGGTTGCAAGCAAAGGGCAACTGCAATCGGATGATGATGGCATGAATAGCGACCGGTCGATGATGGAATCGACTCCTGAGAAGTTTCCTCGCCGCCGTGTGGACGCCAAGACTTCTCAACCAGCAAAGAGCTCAACGAAACGTAGAGCTATCTCTCTGCCTTGTAGGAGCGATCCCCTACTCTTCTGTGATCTTCAGGCTGAAGATATGCTGTGCATTTTCCGCTTCCTGAACCATTTCGACTTGCGCAAGGCAATGCTTGTATGCAAGCATTGGAAGAAAGTTGCTTGCGACGATCGGCTGTGGTCTTGGATCTACTCCAAGTCAGATTTGAAGATGCCCGAGGTGATGCCGAGATCGTGGAGGTGGGAGTTCCTGCGCGCCGAGCAGCTGCACCAGCGATGGGCCAACGGGATGTACAGAAAGCGAAGACTCGCCGGGCATCGGGGCGCTATCAACTGCATGAGTGCTGAGGGAAACAAGATTGTGACGGGGTCGGACGATCACGACCTGAGAGTTTGGAATGTAATGGAAGCAGACGCGAGCTCCGTAAGGCTGCACGCGCACAAGGGGAAAGTGCTCTGCTGTTGTATCGTTGGCAAGTTCATCGCCAGCGGGTCCGAGGACTCCCTCGTCATCCTCTGGAACATGTCTAGCGGAAAGGTGAAGGGAAAACTTCGTCAACACCAGCAGCCAGTCACTTGCCTTGCAACCGACAAGAAGCAGCTCGTTTTCTCTGGAAGTGTTGATATGCAAATTTGTGTCTGGTGCACATCCACTTTGTCCAACATCGCTGTCTTGAGAGACCACCGCCTTGCTGTCTTTTGCCTCTCCTTCATCGCTCCTTTACAGCTGCTGGTGAGCGGAGGGAAGGAGTGCGAAGTTCGGGTGTGGAAGATGAAGGACAAGAACAAATCAACCATCCTCCTCCGAGGGCATTCGGCCTCCGTTACTTGTCTAGACACCACGGACTCCCTCATTGCATCCGGGTCGGACGATCGATCAGTTCGCCTCTGGGACGCGTTTTCAGGTTCCTGCGCTAGTCTGGGTGACTTTCACTGATCCTCCTCAACCAGGCTTGTGCTTGAGAACCTTCCTTGGGCATGGTGGGCCCGTCTCCGCATTGAACTTGGCTGGAAGCCGACTCTTCACAGGGAGGTGAGAGCGCTGGATGAGGAGATGCGTCATGGTAACTCGAGACGCCTCAGCTTTGACGGGAAAGTTCGGATGTTCGACCTGCTGTCGGGAAGGTGTAACAAGATTATGAACGGTCACAAGAATGTGAGAATTCCTATTTCAACCCGCTCTGCCTCACTCTTTCTGATGCCAGGCCATCCTGTCCTTGTCTGCTTCAGAGTCGTTCTGCGTCTCGGGAGCCAATGACCACGATGTTCGGGTCTGGGACTGCAGGAGAGAAACTTGCGGGGAACCTGCTGCAGACACCATCAAGTTGCTAGCAGACAGCTATCCAGGGAGCGCGAACAATAGCATGGAGGTGGAGGAATTGACAGACGGTCGGTCTTTTCTCGCGTTGTGACTGCACGTGACCTTTACAGCAGAGGAATACGTCGACGAGGTGTACGGCATGTACGAGGAGCCTGAAGCTCGTCGAACGCAGATCCTCTCCTCAGGTCTCTTCCTCCAACAAGGACTCTCCTGCTCTGCTCACATGGTAACAGGCACCAGCTGCAGCTCGGGATACTCACTGAGAGGACACTCATCTGGTGTTCAAGCGGTGACGCTCATTCGCGATCGGTTTGTCGTGTCGGTGAGTCAGTCAAGGGACTTGGACTCCCCGTCCCTTTGCCCCTCACATCCTTCCCCCTTCCTGACTTGTTGTCAGGCGTCGGATGACTATCATGTCTGCGTTTGGGACTTTGCTTTTTGAGGTTGCTTGCGCAAGAATCTATCAAGTTCCGAATTCCAATGAATGGGACACGCTGATCAATTGAAGCGACAAATGTTGAGGGTGTCTTTGTGATAAAAAACAATACATGGAGCTATGTACAAGTGAGGGAGGCCAAACATAATGCACAAGGTCAAAACGACCGATGAGGCAAACCAAATTTGATGGCCGGATGATCTCGTCTATCCTGCCACGTTAACAAGGGCTCTGACTTCTTACGAAACATGGAACCAACATCCTTGTTCGGGCTCAAAGACCTCCGCACGTCGTGATGGTCAGTCTCGAATCCTCGATCTGCTCGCCACATCCTGTCGTCGTGCACGATCGCCGCATCTCTCCAGCGGTCGTCACCGTCATCTTCATCCTCTTCATTTTCTTCTGCTGGTACGCGACTTGCGTATCTCGAATGAAGTGATGAGCGAACTCGTTCAGCAAGTCTCATGGCTGTTCGCTCCTCGAAATCCGAAAGAATCAACTCCGGTGTATTCGATTCTGCGAGCGCGAGAGTATCGTTGGATTCGATCCGGTCTGAGTTGACTGCTATCCCACAAGCTCGCAGGAGTTCACAAGTTCGCCTGGCAACACGCTTTGCTGCAAGGAATGAGTCACGTTTCGAGGTCACTAGAAAGATCTATGTACCGAGCTCTTCTCCTCGCAGAGTAGTCGAGACTTGGACCATTTGTCCACCCGCGACCGTTTGAAGAGTAATCGTGACTGCATCTTGATTCCCAGAAAAAGAACCGAGACCGTCGAGGTTATGAGCACTCACGTTTGGTCCAGGGAGCGAAACAGCTTCATACGCTCTCGAAGGAAGAACCATGTGCACGTCCCTCCTCCCACGAGTGAACTCCTCCTGGAGCTCTGGAGAGTTTCTGAGGACATGACTGTCTATGGATCTCCCACTCGTAATGATAGGAAAATCCAGGCTCCCTGCGCCATCTCTGTCCCGTGGGTGCTCGAATGATCTAAACGAACTGTCTTGAAACTCGATGCTCTCAGCAGAGTCATCACTTTCAAGCTCGTAGTTTTCATCTTCTCCGAACGGGTTTGCATCTAAATCCTGTGCAGCAAGATCGTCCTCAGAGGAATCCTACCATCATCGTCAGGAAGAACTCTCCCAGCAATGTACAACATACCGGTGGTGGCATGGCAGGAGCGCTGAAGCCACTGCCGTACCCGTATCCATTCCCATACCTATGGCCCGGAAAGCTGTTGGAATCCCTCATGTTCATCGCTGACAAGTCGTCCGCGACGCCAGAATATGGAGAGCGAGCAAGGACATGGTCAATGTCCGATCGAAATGTTCGCTCGTGCCGTACACGACTTAATCTGGACACATCGTTCAAAAAAAGCAGGCCGAAAGTAAACCGGTCGTTGACCTCGCAAGTATGTTGTTCTGAGAGTTCTGATAAGCAGAAGTCCTGTACTCTATACATCTGAAGTGAGTGGAGCTACTGGGGCACCACTCGCACATACCTGGAGACATGTAGTTGTGCAAATGGTCTCGAGCCATGATGTTGTTATTATGTTCATCCATTACAAACGAGCCTGTAACAGATCATTCAACACACAACCCTTGACTCCACCAGCTAGGATACCGCCAAACTCGGTCTGACCATGGTGCTGAAGCAAGAAGATTGTTAGTCTCAAGATAGTCTTTGAGAAAGAGTTCTACCGGGATGGAACGGTCAAAGTCGAGCTCGTTTCGATTCAGCGTCGCTTCTCGAGCAGTGATGATTTGAACGAAGCAGAAAAGAAGAACAATAACCATATTCGGTGTGAGTGGGATGCGGAGAGAAGGTGAGAATGAAGTGAGGGACGTTGGAGCAGGAATTTGCGACAGGAAATATTAGGATGACAGAATTGAAGCTGTCAGATCTCGGTTGTCAGAGAAAGATTGTGAGGAGGAAGGAAGGGAGACAGGCAGGAAGAGGAAAGGAGGGAGGGAGGGAGGAGGGAGGAGTGAGAGAGAGGAGGAAGATAGGAAGAGGAGAGGACGGAGAAGCAGGTAGAAGCAGGAGAACGCGAAGGAGACTGGGGTCGATGGAGAAAAGTTTTGAGCTACAATGTAGGGGGGCAGATGTCGGGAGATCCCACCGGTACTATGAGGCTCTACCTGGGGGTGGGGGTGTGGGATGGTCGTATCTACGACAGGGGGTAGGGTGCCATGAATAAAACATACTCACACCGGTACTTGGATGTTCTGGGCGTGTCAAAAACGGGGTGGGTGGTCTGCGCAGGGTCGCAATTTGGGGGTGGTCCTGTAACGACCAAGTAACCGATCATACTAAAACCGTTACTATCACAGTTACAAAACTCTTAAAGAAACCTCTTAGGGTACCGGAGATGCCGGGAGAATCAGTGGTCAGTGGGGGGACGAGGTTGTTGGAGAGGGGAATGGCTCGGGGAAACGGGGCAGCGCCTGGTAGGGGTTGAGGAGAGGAGGAGGAGAGCGAGTGAAGTAGGTGCGAGGGAGACAGCAAGGATCATTTCCGAGGGAGGAGAGCGAGCTTCGGCGCTATCGTTCTGTGATTGAGAGAGAAATCTTGGGATTCCCAAGTTGTGCAAAATGGCTTTGCGTCCGTCAGGTGTAGAGGTTACCGCGGATCAACTGCAACAAGACATGAAAGAAGCAGAGATCGCGCATCTAAAGAACCAGCTTGCTTCAACTGAATCTGAGGTTGAAAGGCTGCAGTCCGCGAACATGCGACTGAGCATGCAATTGCGCGAGACTCAGAATCTGCTGTGGAACAATGTGTCCGATGAGGGGATGATGTCTCAGCTGCTGGAACTCCAAAGCTTCATTTGGAACGCTGATGTTGAGAATACCCTACAGGCAAAAGAGCGGTTGCTTGACGCCGCAGGTTTCAGCAACATTCTGTTGGTTGAGTTGAAACAAATACAAGCGAATGTCTTTGCCCTGAGGGATTCAACAGTGTTTCTCTCCGAAGAGAATGCACGGATGAAGGAAGAGCTGAACATGCTAACTGCTGAGAATTATAAATTGAAAGAAGACTTCGAAAGATTCAAGAAGACCGCTGATGATGAAAGGGTTGCCCTTCTGCAAAAATTGCAGGAGTACAAAGGGAATTTCTTAGCTTTTGCTCCTGGAAGTCACGATGAAGATAATCATTCTTTGGAGTTAGGACATAATCGCTATACAGAGATGCCACTGTTGGTGGAGTATGGTGAACTCTCACAATCACACATGGACACCTCGGCTGAGGTAGATGCGACCCACGACAGTTGGTCGAGCGATGGCGAGGTAGGAGCTCTGGAACAGCTTGCAGACAATTACATCGGGTTTCATGCTGCTGGCTTTTCTGTTGCACAGGTTGCCGACCAGCTCAAGGATGAGCAGTTCGAGTCGCTGGCAGGATCGGGGCCTCCAGTTGTTCCCGAGCTGAATGTCGGGGCAGCAGCAGCAGCAGCAGCAGATAAGCTGCCTCCTACGTCTTCAGCTCTGACTGAGCGAATCCGAGATGACGTCACGGAAATTCTCAACCTCACACGCCAGTGCGATCTACATATCATGGCATTAAGGAATCTTCAGAGGGAGACGGTGGGCCAGATACAACAGAACAGTGAAACACAGATTGCCAGGTCTGGAAGCGACCGAGCAGCAGTGTTGGCTGATGCTGATAGCCTTGAAAGCACTGCCGTGAATCATCCGTCTTGGTCAAACATCAGCCAGACAAGAGACGGACAAGACCATCGGCGTGATCTCAACCAGATCCGCGATGGAGGACAGACAACGAAGTCACAAGCCGAACTTGAACTACAAAAATTCAGCCACATTTTGGAGGAGTGCGACAACCAATCAGAAGAGCTTCAACAAGAGCAGGAGAAAATGTTAGCAGAGATAAAACGGCTACGGGAGGAGCTGGCGAGGCTGGAAGCAGAGCGAGGCAGCGGAGGAGGCAGCGGAGGAGGAGGGAGGACAGGGGAGGCGAACCCGTTCGACGACCTACTGCTGGACTTTGGGGACAAGGAGGAGGCAGGGAGAAGCGCGGGAGGGCCGGAAGGGACGGAAGGGGGAGGAGGGGAGAGGGGGCTCGGGGATCTGCTCGGGCTCGGGGAGGACGGGGGAGAGGCAGGCGGGGACTTTGGAAAGGAAAGCAAAAGAGAAAATCAACATCAAATTTTTGGGGAGAGCAAGTTTGAGAGGGTTCTGCTAGGAAAGGGATGGAATGAGGGTATAGAACATGACCCAGGTGCAACTCATAAGAATCATAACGAAGAAAATGGCGTGCAAGAAAAAGAAGCAAAGTCTGATGCAGACAAGCTCGAACAAGAACAATTGTTCGAAATTGAGAAGAAGAAACAAGCAGCTGAAGAAGCGGCGGCGGTAGAGGCGGCGATAGCAGAGCTAGCTACGAGCCTGGGGAGGCTGGAGGGGCAGGTAGAGGCAGGGCTGCAGGAGGCGAGGCGGCAGCGGGATCAGGACCGGGAGGAAGCAGCAAGGCGGGAAGGAGGAAGGGCGATGGCACATGCGGCGGCGGAGGCTCACGTGGGGAGCGTGTGGGAGGTCCTGGAAGAGTACAGAGAGAGCGTGAGGGAGCTGGAGGAGGAGCAGAAGGGGATGGAGGAGGAGATGGGGAGGCTACGGGAGGAGCTGGCGAGGCTGGAAGCAGAGCGAGGCAGCGGGGGAGGAAGAGGAGGAGGAGGAGG